TGGACGGTTGCACGAGCTCCGGTACTGGGCACATTTCGCCATAGCGCTATCGTGGAGACGACTAGATGTGGTACTTCTGCTGAGGGCTTTCCCGACGTTGGTTGTTGCAATGAAGCTCAATGTAGGACACGCGTAACGCGGATGATGAAGAAGGGTTGGTCCCAAAAGTTCATGGGGGAAAGCAACGTCGACCTCCCGCCCTGCCAGTAAGAAGTAAATAAGGGTGTCTCATCTAAACACACAATGGTCTTGCTGACCAAAGCAACCGCAAAGTCTAGTAATAACGCTCAGCTAGAGCATTTAGGTGGTAATATGACGCATACCATACGTGGTGTCATCAATTCTAAATTCTTTGAAGACCCTAACAAATTAGCTCCAATTGTCAGTCACTGTGCACACAGTCTTGCTCGTTTCTAGGCTGAAGTAGGTGTAGACATCCAAAAGCAAGTCGGCCACCCGGTCGTCTGAATGCGTTTCAATGAAACGTCTGCAATCGAGCGCTGTAGATTTCTGCTCTACCGTGTCAGAATCGATCTGACATGCTAGAGCATACAGAAATATTTGCACTAGCCCAATATGACTATGAATTGCACTTAGCAATTTATACCGCACCCAAGTAGACGAATTCGTTTGCTATCTGAACACAGTCGTGAGTCTTCATGCGTCTGTTGTGGATGCTCATGACGTGCAATGAACCGCTAAAGGATTCGCCCTCAAGTTCACCCTTAAAATTGCTCAGTGCTATTCAGACCTTAAAAGGGGGCCATCCAGAGCTTGAAGTTGGCACTCGGGTGACCGGTTGATTAGTCTCTTGGAGAAATTGTCCGCCACTTCTCCTGTGTGCGACTGCACATTTGCAATCACCTATATTAGAGTTTAAATGCCCTTTCCGACGAATTATTAATTGGGATTGTTGTCGCACCCAATGCGCTGTGACGCCCACGATTCTCCTTGCTGAAGTAGACCGCACGTCTGCAGTGGTGCACACATGTGTCATAGCTTCTAGTGCACTTTTTATGCTGCGGATTTTGTCGTCAAATGTGTCGTCCATTCTTCAGCATAGTGTCCTCCGAGACATTGCCGTCACTCCAGGGCACATTCCTGGAAATGTGCACAATCTGATGTTTTTCTCACCATATAAAATAAAACACCCAAATACAAGTAAAAAGGTGAATACAACTGTACCTTTGACGAATTCCTAACACGCACCTGCTCCGACAAACTGCAGAGGAAGCATCATCTTGACAATCAACTTGTGTAGAAGTTGATCAAATTTCTTGTCTAGCCTTGGCTGGGGTTCTCCTTGTCCTGAGAACCCGTTGGTCTTGCCACGTTCACAGTTCTGCTTCCTGGGCCCCTTCAGATACCGTTCATACTCAGATGTACCCCTTCGATGCTCACTCTGTTATCAAATACACAAGAATCGTCCACAAACATGTGTCAAACCAATTAACGTGAACACAAGTAACTGATAAGGCAGAAAGAGAAAATATATAGTTAAGTTGAAGAAGCAGTTCTTACCTTCAGGTGTAGCATGAAATTCTATGTTGATGTCTTCGAACCCGAGATTACCTTTCCACAAACCTTGCATTCTGCCTTGAGTGCAGAATCATATTAGACTCGCCTTCTAAAGGTTAGAAAGGCTTGCTGTCTAGAATAGAGCAGGCTTCACGGCCATCAACTTTCGTAATTATTCATTCTCAACTTTTCATGTGCTTTTCACGACACTTAGAGGCGCCTGCGATCCTGCGTGACGGTCTTCGGTACTACGGGAGAGGAGAAATGTCTGGGTATCAAACGAGACATGAGGCAGACGCCACTCGCGTGACCTCGATTCGGCCACCTGTGTTTCCCGGATTCCGTGATCAAAGACGACAGCAAAGGAAAGGGGAAGAAACAGGAGAGGAGGAGGAGAGTGCGGCGTGAAGGACAAGACGAGGAGAAAAAAAAGAAAAAGAAAGCCGGCAGTGAGGAGTGGCGTGAGACGACACGAGGCCAGAGAGAAAGGGGCCGACACGAACCTGCTGAAAAACAAGACAGACAGCAGCAGCCCCCATGACACGGCAGCGAGAAAAAAAAAAAAACGCTCTCCGCCGCCGTAAACGAAAATGAGATGGCCGTGCCCGGCAGAGCATCGCTATACAAGTGATATATAGTAAATGTATTTCACTACTGAAATACAAATATATTTTAAAGCGATTGCTTTACGGGCGACACTTTGCAGAGACTTCGAGCTCGTGGGTGCTCGTCGCCGCTATGGAAAAACCCTTTTTCTCTCTTCTCTTGGCACGAGGAGAGAAATTGTTTTTTCCCGTCGACCGCACAGCATGAAGAGAGGAGAGCCCTGGCATCCCACCAGTAACGATGCAACCAAGGGACAGTCTTCCTGTCGTCTGTTTCAAACACTTGTTTTCAAACCATACTCGCGTCATGCGAAATCCCACCTTGCCAGTATCCAGTTGCTTCGCATAATGTTGGATGGATTTAGAAACTTCCACCACGCTTACCCACTTACTTCACGGATCTCTGGTGGCATTCATCAGTGGCATCCCCGACGGCTACGAGAATTAACCACGTCACACCTCCCTCCTCAAGTACATGAAGGCACCATTCCACCCGCATTGCGCGACCGTGCTATAGCTTTCACCTTCGTTTCTTCGCACCATAGTGGGCGAAAAATAAAACTTTTTTCAAATGTATCTCGATACAGAGATAAAGATACTCAAAAGTATCTTTAAGATACTATCACGATGCCTTTTGTATTGCAATACTGCCCAGCCCTGAATGCCTCTTGTGTGCGGGCGATTGCACATTCATTTGTAAACACTGGGTTGTGGATGGCAACCTTGCTTTGCAATGTTGGAACCGTAGAGGAATTGTGGTGGCAAAAAAATTTAGAAATAACACAGATGTATGTTAACTTCCCCTTCCAATGTTAAACATGCACCACTGTAAACAGGCAGTGCATGTGCTGTTGCTGGAGGTACAAAAGTTATTTTTAGCTGCCACGAAGCGGAATTTGAGGCCTGTCACATAGTTATGCTTGACTACGGCCGACTGAGACAAGAGCGGTTTTTAAGCCTCTTGTGATGGCTTACGACTGGCAGTGTTGCTGTACGGCGGGTCGTAAGCCGTCACAAGAGGCTTAAAAACTGGTCTTGTCTCAGCCAGTCGTAGTAAAACACAAGTATGTGAACGGGCCTTTAGAGAAGAGCTAGGATACCTTAGTCATCATTCCCCATTTATTTAAGGGTGAAGACCCCTTCCATTGCTGCCGCTGTCAATACAAGATCACTATGCAAAAAATGTAAACAAATGTTGGAAGGACCATTGCTAGCAAGAAGCTAGCCAAATATATGATGAGCAAGTTCATCTGTTCTTCACGCAAAGGAGAGGGCAAACCACGACATCATGGCACAGAGCTCCGGTACGAAAATAGAATGGTTTAACAAATGCAGAGAGGGTCTGCCAATCGCCGCAATGGCTACTTTGCCTTTTCTGTGGCTGTCGTAAATCTACCGGTTCTTTACGAACGACAAATCGGCCTCCAAATAAGTAGAGAGGAAATACCTCAAAGGGTATGTTCCTTCTTCCGACTAGCAACTACCAGACGCACTGCAATAAACAAAGAACTTGTGGCTGAAATGTCGTTTCTCCACCCACAAAAGAGTATGCTGACTGCTGAGACCTCCGGAGCCAGGTCGAACACATAATCACCTCCTCTCACTTTTTTTGTGCTTCCTCTGTCATGTACAGGGAGACACGTTTGGGTTCACTTGCTTGATGTATACAATTAAATAGTGCAATTTCTTTTTACTTCCCCGACCCTCCTAGACAGTCCCTCCCAGCTTTTTAAATAACTTCGCCACCTACAGTGTACAATAAGCACAGGATGTGAATGCCATGTGCTAACAGTCCCTAACTGACAAGCGGTAAGGGGATTTTCCAAGAGACACTGAGTAAGCAAGGTGTAAAAAAGAAAAACGGTGTAAGCACTATACAAGAGAGATGTAAGATGCAGAGAAAATAGGTGGCATTAGTAAAAGCTATGCAGTTGCACTCAGGTTGATTTGTGAAATAACCTTGATGGGCCTACACGCATGCTTGTCTACAATGAGCTTATTTCGGCAATTATGACTCTTTCCATTTCTTAATGTGTGAATGCCTTGAACCATTAATTTCTAGAGTGTTTTTGTTGATTTGCTTATTCCCCACTGCTGTGTGCTGCTGTGCTCCCACTCTTGCAATGACCTCAAATGAGGTCAAAAGTCAAAATTTGGGGGTTTTACGTGCCAAACCAACGGCGGGCATCTGGCACGCCCCAGCGGAGGACTGAGGATTAATTTCGACCACCTGGGGATCTTTTGACGTGCAACCGAAAGCTCGGTTACACGGCGTCTTCTCCGCAATAAGCCTCCGTCAGATTGTGGGCACCTCGGCCAGGATTCGAACCCGCCACATGGGGATCCGTAGGCCGGCGCTCTTGCCTCGGAGCCACCGAGGCAGCTCCTCAAATGAGGTAGTAGTATGTATAAATAAATGAATAACTTGTAGTCAACATACCGAGAGGCGTTCTTTGCTGACACACTCGTTATTTACCTATATTACAGATAGATGTTCACAAATGGGCTAGTACAAGATAATGTCCGAGTTGGGTTAAGACGAGCCTGTGTTGCAGATAGGCGTGTTCCATCAAAGCTTGTGTAGCGTGTCCATCACTCGAGGGGCGTAGCTCCTGCTTCGCTTGCTGTATTTGCGTTGGTGCACGTTGCTCTAACATGTAGATGGTGTCGCCTACTTGTTCGCTATAAACTAAAAAAAAAAAGAAATGCCCAAGTCTGTAACGCTATGGAAATATAGAGAGCTACTGGTAGCAGAAACAAACAATGTCCTTGCTATACCAAAAGCACAAGAACCCAAAGTCACCCCGCAAAGTGTTTAGAAAAAATTAAACAAGCCCGGTGTCGCGCAGAAAAAAAAGTCATGAGGGCAAGTCTTACTATGCTGGAAGACAGTCTCCTTGTGCTTGCCAAGGCCACTTTTTTCGAGCCATTCATAGACCTGCTCCTCGTTTTGTTGCCGGATCACTTCGTTGCTCTGCTGCAGCGCCACAAAGGTGAGCACAAAGGTCGCAAAGGCACACAGGGTTGCCGACGGAAGACGGGTTGCGATCCAGAACGACGGGGAAGCCGAGAAACTTGGCCGCATGGCCTGCCCGCCCGTGGACGCCAGACCTGTCGTCAACGCAAGAGAAAGGGACAATTTGGCACCTGCTCTAAACAAGGAAATTTTGCGATGCAACTGCACTCTTGAAGGATAAAAAATATAGAAGAATATAGGCATTCATTCGTCGCACCTCCCGTTTTGCGACAGCTTGGCTAATTGTGGAAGGTACGACCTTCCGTAATACGATAGGAGCATTGAGGCATGGCATGGGTTGCGCTCCAAGGGAATGTATGTTCCCCGAAAGATTTATGATGTTTGGAATTTTTCTCATTAAAAAAAAAAAAGTCAAATTCTTTTTCTTTTCTTTTTTTGTTGGGGGGGGGGGGGGGGGGGGGTTCATCGATATACATTGAAAACATTAAACCCTAATACCAAAGAGGGCACCAAAGAGAGCACTTGTAGAAGCACTTGTACTCTCCTACAATATGAAAACTTGAAAGGATAAAACATCGAGGACAAGAACGGAAACAGGACTTCTTTGGAAGAAGTTCTGTTTCCGTCCTTGTTCTCTATGTTTTATTCTTTCAAGTTTTCGTATCAATTTAACAACATGCTCGTTTTCAATGACTCTCCTACAAGTTCTCCGATCCACCATCGAGGACCAAGGCCTTGCGTCGTTCCAGAATGCGGCGGACATGTACTTGACCTTCTTGGAACTTTTACGAGTCTACTTGTCAGCGACAGTGGTGTCCCACCAAGGCCGCAAATACGTGCAAAGGAGCAGAGTTTGCTTAGGTTCCCAAGTGGCTCCTTATCTCAGTGAAGTGTTTCTCGGTGCGTGTGGACTTGCCGTTCAAGAAAACATCTAAGATTCGAGAATTGCGGCGATATTCCACTATGTGGATGATTGACTCTTTTTTTTTTTTTTGTGTGCTACGAAAGTTGACAAACTTTCATAGCACACATGCCATCCTGAGAAGTTTCCAACAATGTTGCATGGGGCTCACCTTCATATATGAGATTCCCATTAAGAAAACCATCAGGTATCTTGGCATTAGAATTCAGAGAAAGGCATGTAAGCTGGAGGTACCAAGCCCAAACAGGTAAAGGGTTCCTCTCTTCGACTCTGAGCATTCCAAAACCGTAAAGCAGAGTAGCAACTACACCCCTCTCATCCAGCCTAAAAAAAGTCATGTGAACATCAAATCACACGAAGCTTCGACACACAAGTATCCAGACTTCAGGATGCTGTCTACCCCCAACACGTATTGGCCTCCATATGCGAAAAAATATGCCATAACATCAAGAAGACTAACGACCATATTGACTCCACAACACAAAAATGACTGCATCTCCACGTGGTGAATGATGTTGATTGGGGCGAAGCTCTGGTGATGCTGATGATACTGATTTTGTTCTAAGTAGCGGTGATGGTGCTGATTTTTATTTTTTTTTATTTCTCATAGGTAGTGCTGAGTTCCGGGTTGTGTTTCGACTTCATTATTACTGCTTTATGGTCGGTGAAATGCAGAGCCAGTGGTTCTTCTAGCGGATCAGCTTGGATCCGCTAGAAGCTGTGGGAACGCATCTCCACCGCTTAAGTCAACGGTCCATGTCAGAAAGAGAATGTGTGGTATGGATCGTGGTTATATACGCATTTGAGCATTTGACCGCAGCGCCCTCTCGTCTATAAACGTTGAGCCAATGCATGCAAAGTTTAACGCGATTATATACGCATTTAACAGCAGCGCCCTCTCCTGTATAGACGTTGAGCGGCTACATGCAACATTTCATCCATGACATCCCCAGCTCTTGAGTTACTAACACAAATCAGAGCCCCCTACTCGTCCCGCATTCGTGGCCGAATGGTTAAGGCGATGGACTAGAAATCCATTGGGGTCTCCCGCGCAGGTTCGAATCCTGCCGACTGCGCAAACATTTTTTTTTTTTTTTTTAAGAAGACAGATAGGATGGAAATTGATGTGAGCACGGACGCCGAACGGACAAGGCTAGACCCCAAGGAGCTTCGCCCCTAAAAAAGACACGTAAACCTTTTCCTGTGCTCCCGTATATCTATGGGATCACACATAGATTAAAAAAGATTGCAAGCCGACAAGAAGGACAAGTGTGTGCTCGGCGCCGAATAAAGCCTATTCGATGTGCCGCAAAGTGAAACAGGCGCAAGTCAACAGAAGAAATGTATACGGCACCCACCACAAGACCAAATATGGCCTGTGTGAAAAGGAAGTCATTTACAACATTCCCTTGACATGCAGGCAGTGCTACGTCGAACAAACGGGACGCTGCATTAACGACAGAACACGGGAACATGCGAACAATCTGAAAAACTGGATGACAGCAAGAACCTGGCCGCACATTGTCGCACACGCTTGTGCAAGGCTAACCTCGATCATGTCACCATCTTGGGGCACCACAGAAATCAGTTTGCCCGTGAGGTGTTGGAGGCCTTAGCCATAGAAGAAGAAGAAGACGAGTGCATTAGTTCATCATCAGTCTCCCCATCCAAAAGAGGAAAACGTTCCCGCGAGACGACAGTACTTCTAACAATTAGAAAATCCAGGAGGAAACATAAGCTAGTTGAAGAAGAAGAAGACTACCATGAAAAGCCAATTGCAGAAACAGATGAAGAAAACTAGAACAACAAACAAAGCTAGCCGAAAAGGAAGAAGGTTCTCATTAAACAGTTGGTAGTCCAGCGGTTGAATGTGCATTTTATTTTTTCCTCTCATTTTTATGTTCAGCTGGTTTCGCCCAAATAAGTACGTTATGAAGTTCTGGCACTTGAAAGTGCTTACAGCTTTTTGCCGTTCTTTTGGTTTGTCTGTTTGTTGTCACTGAGAATATTTTAGCACTCTGCAGATAACTCTCTGGTGAAACGGTTCCTCCAAATCCAAGTTCAACGGGATGGAAGATGTGCCCCTAGAAGACCTGCCTCTGGCCACGACACGCACAAACAACCTTGTCAACAAATGGACAGAAGTGATGGGTACATCAATAAATAAATAATAAACAAAACGAAAAAAAAGGTAATCATAGCATCACAATCGATTTTTAATGAGGCCAGTAGGGCCGTAACGTCGCCCTTCCGTCTCTAAATCATTCATCACCATTAAATCCTCGTCGAACGAGGAACTCGCCGTCCCTACACTTTCGCAATATAATTTGATCATTAGGATAAGTGGGAGGAAAAAATAATAATAACAATATACCCGGGGACAACTTGTGTGCAGTGCCAGCTTGATTGCAACACCTATGTGTTGGATGTTAACCTGTATGAGTAAACACTGTGTTCGCGCAGCAGAATGTTTCCACAGGTGTGGCGGTCCCTGTTTTAAGCCAGCTTGTGCTGTCAACTCACCGTCATCAAAAACGGGCAGACAAAAACAATAGAAAACAAATCTTACCTGCGGCAGCGGCTGTGCCGGTCGACATTCTTCAACGGCGAGTCGCCGCCGGTGCCGATGTAGTGCCATTGTAAGAAGTCATCTAAAAAAACAAAAAAAAAAAAAAAACAGAGGGACGTTAGAACTGAACACCTGTCAGATAAGGCGCCGTTGTGCTAATTTACATCGGCGACAGTTACCGTGCGATGCTCCGGAAAAACACGGATTTTTCGTGAACGAGTTACGGCGGCGATTCGAAGCGATTACTGGAGATTGGAGAATAAACGCCGTGTATAAAGAAGTGCCACTCACAACTTTTCGCGATCGTGCGTCGACGAGTGTTCCGTGCGCTCGGGCGAGGTTCGCACGACAGCTTCGATACCCACCATCACAGTTATCGCATCGCCGTAGATTTCATCACAAACTGCGCGGACGTTTCAAATTTCAGTTTATGCGCCACTGGAAGCTTGTCTTTGGTGCAAATAAAATTCGGTGCCGCGAAGTGTTCTTGATCAGACGGATTCTTGCTGAAAATCTGACACACACCGAAGTCCGCTCTCAGCCATTTGTTGTTGCTAACTGTCCATGCAGTTGTGAGGTTGTGACAGTTGTGACACGCGTGATTCGAGCATAGAGTTAATAAATCTATGAATTCGACTGCTCCTAGCAGTGCAAGAAAATATTTTTAAAACAAGATATGTAAATATATATAAATATATTCGCAACTACCTGCCAAAAGAAACAAAATTATGTTTTAAAGTAACTAATTTTTACTTCTGGACGCTAGGAGTCCAGAAGCGCGTAAGTGTGATTTATTATTCAGTCAAGGTTGGTGAAGGTAGTTTACAAGTAACTCTTAACATCCAGAAACAAACTGTGACGTCAAATACAAACCGTTAGTAGTCGTGCTTGGGGGCTACTCCGAGTTACCTTATCGTCGTAGCGAGAGTTGATTGCGAGGCTTCGCGATCAAACCGAAAGTGCCCAGAAGGGTGAGCGAAGGCGGTGGCGGTCTTTCAACGAAAACTGCACGAGAAATCAGCTGTCCTGGCTTGTAGTCCGTGCTGCCTTGCACGCCGATAAGTCTCCGCCGTCTTCCAAATGTTCTCTGGCTGAAGATCGTATGGATCATCGGATACCATGGAACACATGTCCAAATTCCTACAGGTATGCCCAACTGTAGTCCCAGCTTCCGAGCTTATTCCATACGTGGTACCAAGCGAACTCGTGGGAAATTCTGCAGTGTCATTTCGTATTTACTGCCAGTTTGCGAGCTCACATATTTGTAAGTCGGTTAAAAAGTGTTCACGTATCGGGATGATGTTCCGAGCGAAAGTTGGACCGATGTGTCATGGGACGTAGGACTCGCTTTGTGGCGCATCCCTCTGGCTTTTTGTGTTTTGGGGTACTTTTGTTTTTCTTCCTTTATTTCTTTTTGCGCGATTGCATATTAATGGAATGTGTTAGATTTTGACAAAGTTCTTATTCATCTCTAAAAAGGCATAGTCCTTATCTATATCTATATGAATCCGAAGTTGACAGATTTTGCCTTTGTTGTCGTACACGCCCTTGTTGTGCAAAGTTTAGAGGAAACAACAGACGTTCGTCTTTTTGTAATTTACCCTTTCTTCCTTTCTTGTTTTTCTTTCGCAGGTTGGCCCGTCAAACGTCGTATTCTCGCAAATCAGATTCATTCAACCGAATAACGACTGGTTTTCCCTGCAACGGCTAAAGGTATCGGTGAAGGGAAAGGATGGGCGAAGGGGAGAGAAATACCCCGCGAAAACGGTGTGAACGCGCCAAATTTTAAGGCGCGCCAGTTATCGTTCTTGTCGCGACGTGCCCCGTGCGAAATCGGCGCGTTTTCTCCACGCGCAGGCTGTTGAGGCGAAGCTTTCGGAAACGTTGGAATCGAGGCTTGAAGACATCAATTCGCTGAAGCCTGGAGCCCTGGATACCGTCAACGGTGACATGACAATGGGTGAGCTTGCAAAGCGTGCCGCCAATCAATCGATCATTGATAACTCGGCTAATAACTTCATTGAGGTTACGAGCGTGAGGAAACAGACTCCGATCAATTACGCGGTTCTCAGTTTTGTCTTGTATGATGATTGTGACAAGTTATTTGTGTAATTGCGGATGTTAAACAATGTTATATGATTGTGACAAGTTATTTGTGTAATTGCAGATGTTAAACAAATTGTGCACTTTTTTTTTATAATTGAAATAATATGTTACTTTATGGCTTGTGGAATAATTATAGATTTTGTTGCCTGCATTGAGGCTGATGCTAACCCTTGACAAAACTCTGTTTCAGTGGTTTCTATTAGGGTAGTCTTTTAGGTTAAGAGAAACAGGACTGGCTTTTCCCACGAAGCTCTCTGCTCTCCACGATTGATGATTCCCTTTCTTCCACTTGCCTGCTCTGCCATGTTTGCTTTGCTAAAGTGGAAAGACCGGAGGGCTTTAACAGAGGTGCCTGTGCTGCTTTTCTTAAAATGAAACAGGCTATGCGGAGTGCAAGTTCGTCCGCTTCTTTTGCGGGGGTTGCGGTGACGTTATAATGTTGAGCTTTCATTGGCTCTGATTGATTGAAGGATAGTAGGTAGACCTCAAGGTAGCTTACTTTCAGGTCTACCCACTATCCTTCAATCAGAACCAATCTGAGCTCGGTGTTCTGACGTCGCCACAACCCCCCTGCAAAAGAGTAGACAAACTTGTGCTCCGCATAGTTTTCGCATGCTGTATTGCCTCAAGATATACAACATATTTATTCACCATCCTAAAGACCCGTTCACACTCTTGCGACCGAGTAAGACCAAGAGAGACCAGGGTCGCTAAACTCGTCAAGCATAACTTTGTGCCAAAACTTTGCGGAATGCGCTAATTGGACTCTCGCGACGCTGACGTCACGCCGAGCGAGGCGTCAATGATTTGAACGCTCATTTCTTTGAGAGAGGCAGAATCTAGCGAAGTTCATCAAGGCGCGCATGAGGGGCACGACAAGCCCGCTGATCGAACGGCTTCGCCGATGGCGTAGCGCCCATTTGTCCCTACATCCGTACGCCAAGCTAAAATGAATGCTTTGCAGATTGTCCCTAGGTGACCTGCTGATGCCCAAAATCCCTCCGAAGTTTATGTAAAAAAGAAACCTCGTTTGTCGAAGTTGTCGCTGACGTCAAAGTGACGTTTCCGAACTTTACGAGAGCCGTGGTTCGAGCTCGAGATCTTCGCTTCGATCATGGCGGTGCTGTACGCTATGGCCGAGCTTATCTTCCGCCACCGTCAGCGTCGCTACTGAGACCACCGGGGACGCCTTTCAACACCCCGGCGACGATTTTCGGCGACAGTACTGGCTATCGAAAGCCGTTGTGCGTTGACTCTGCAACGAGCTTCGTTTGGCGCCTGGACTTCGAGGCGGCGGACAATCACGTCTACCATGACCGTGGAACAACAAGTTCTCTGCGCGCTCCGGTTCTTCAGAACCGATAGCTTTCAAGGCATGGTGGCGACTGACGAGCACCTGTCAGTCTTCCCACATGAGTGTGAGCCGGGCGGGCTGTCAGAGTTTTTGCGGCCGCCATCGTTTTTTTTTTTTTTTTTGTAATCTTTGAAGAGGTATTAATAAGCTGGTATACAATTCAGAATGTTGGGAAACAAACAAGAACCGGGGTAATTCTTGGGTAGGGTCGAGTCTCCCAGCAGCTGGCAGAATTATTTCCCCGAAATTCTACTGGCTGTCGTCACTCATTGGCGGTCAAATCAGTTCATTGAACGACGTGTCATCGACAGATCGTTTTATCGGCACGCGATGTAATTACATGAAAGAGATTTTCTTCCGTTAGAGGTATATACACATTAAACATTTTCACACCTTTATACATGTAAGTGGGGTGTCCCTTAACTAACACCCTAATAAGTATAGCAATAGACCTTATAAGACAAAATGTAAACCTCACACCTTTAAAAATGTCTGATTTTTTTAAACACATTTCTTAAAACATGTGATAATGCACTAGATCATTTCATAAAGATGTAAAACTACAATACCCCTTCTCGCCAGGCACGTAGCCAGGGGGGGGGGGGGGGGGGGGCGGGGGGGGGGGGGGGAAGGCATAAGGCCTGCCCCCCCCCCGAAATCTTCCTTTTGCTGGGGCCTCCTCTCCCCCCTCCCCCTCATTGAGCACTTTGTCACGGGCGCCCCCCCTCCCCTTCTTAAACAAAATTCTGGCTACGTGCCTGCTTCTCGTCAAAGTGTAATTACCACAGTACATTTCTTTTTTGGGGTGTACACAGTGGCCCGGTACCCAATAATATGACTGAACAAATAAATTACACAAGCGAGTCGCCGAAACAGCACGTTGCTTCTTGGCGAGTGTCGAGGCAATTTCGGCCGAAAACCGGCTTCAATATTGGCCGGATGTACGGTTTTGCACCTCGTCCCGACATCCGGCAGGTATGGGTGTAACAATGCAAATAAACGATTTATGTCTAATAGCACTGGCACCACTGATTTCTTAAGAGGCTAGATCGCGGATAGAGGCCTGTATTGCTGGGGTCGAGCGGCACCACCGGCAGTCATCGCTTGACACAATCTTATGCATGCAATAGGAGAAACGGGAAAACTCAATTTTATTACGTTTGTAGGTTGTACTCTACCATGAAACTTCTATCGTGTTTCCGCAAATAACAGTTGATATTGTGGGCAAGAATATTAAACGAGTTAGAATACCAATCTTGTTTAACTAAATGTTGTGCGGTTGAGGGTCGAGGGCGACTTTGTTGGGCGTAAACTGTGATGTGTTTAAAGAGACAAGGGTTACCGAGGGTTATTGTGGTGTTTTACGTGATCTTGGAGTCATCAGAGCTCATCAAACGATAAGTTAGATGGCCTTTACTTGGGACATTCGCATCGTTTTAACCGCTTGTCATAGTACTTCATGGTGAAAGCTTTTTCTTTGAACTGCTGTGAGGGCTTCCGTGACAAACTGAAACTCGGAGCGTGCCGTTCAGTCGCTGAACGTGCCATTTATTTAGCAACCGAAGCAAGCGACGTCGGTAAAGTCAATGGTGCTCCGGCCCATTTTTTTTTAATCGATGTTGAAACACTTGATGAATGTCTATTTGATCTCCAAGAACCCGACATAATCATCGCAGCACGTCATAAAATGCCTGCCCTCGAGCACCGCGTACAAGCTTCCCATTTTTGCGTGTTTCTCCCTTAGACTTGCGTGTATTGCCTCAGGTTTTATAGGCCAAAACAACAAGGACGAAAACGAAGGGAGAACTAGACAGGACGCGGCGTATTGCCTGTCGTCAAGCAATGGCCGCCGGTGAAACCAGTGACGGGCTCCCGATTCGCGATCCAGACTTGCACTGTGAGAGTTCTAATGCATTACACCCGCAGAGTGCTGCACGGAGGACAGCCCCGAACGAACTTACCGAGTGCAGACTGATGCTGTCGCCATAGATGTTGTAGAAAAGTACCGACCTCAAACCGAAACTAGCGCCTTTTTGTTCGACGTGATGGGTGGGAATACGAGAGTGCCAGTCGCTGCCATCGTTTATCTATAAACGTTGGTTGCTGCAACGTGGAACTTACATTTGCAACGACTTCCGATTAAGCAACTCGGCTGTCATAAATATCTACAGACGGCGTAAGTTTCCGAAACCAGCTGACTACAAAACAGCATACAACCACTGAAAGGATACGGCTTAAATCTAGTTGTTCGGAACATCTAGCAATACGTTTCGTAAGACTTTTTATTTTCCTGGTGAGGGCATTAAGAACGAGAGCTTTCTCAAAACAAAATATGACAGGGCAAGATAGCTGCAGTTCAAATATAACTTTGCTTGAGTCTCGGGCAACGTCTCCATGTTTAGCCTTCCCGGACGCTGAGTGAATGTGTCGCAGGTTTCTGCTGTGGGAGCTTTGTCAAAAGATATTCCACTTTTCACCCATACACACATGATGCTAGATCTCGCGGCCTCTGTGGTTGTCCTGGGCCTTTATATGCACACTGGTAGGTTTCAACGTCTGTACGGCTACAAATCAACTTAAATTTTGCAAATAAAACAAGGGCCGTCGATTCCTCCCTTCGTGAAATATCAGACGCTTACAATTCAAGCTCGCGTTTGAGTTTGTGGCCCGCGGGACGCGATTTCGAGCAGAAAACTAACTTTTTCTTTCAGTTCCGCTGTGCGAATGCCGCATCGTAGCAGACAAACCAAATACTTTACTAGGGGGAATACATTCCACTCCTCTCAAATACAATAGCCTCGGCGTGGACAGGTGTTCTGGACTTGGCGAGAGCCATCTATCGTCGTGCACATGCGCGTGGACTGATGCGGACCTCCACTCCGTCAGAGCTGGATTCAGCGCTGTAGGCGTTCTGTCTAATGCAAATGCGCGGAGTGGAATGTATTCCCCCTAGTAAAGTATTTGGACGAACTCTCGTCGTCTGCTCTCGCTCCTTGCCTGGGCAAGGCATGACGGGATTGTCAGCACTAGAGAGCTCGAAAGACAACGCACAGCGAGTGGCGTGAACGCTCGCCTCCCCACGCTGTCTCGTGCTCTCGTGCACCGCCTAGGGATTGCGGGGAATTTTTCGTCAAAAGTTGCGAAGTTGAGCGCGCTCAGGGAGGGGGAAACTTTGCGGCATTCTTTTGGTCACTCCCCCCGCTACGTCAAAAAGTGAAGAATGCTTTGCTCCACGAGTTTAGCTACCCAGACCGGTTTTTAAGCCTCTTGCGACGTCTTAGGACCTTCTCCGCTGCAGCGCATCCGGTCCTAAGACGTCGCAAGAGGCTTAAAAACCGGTCTGATCTCTCTTGGTCTTGCTCGGTCACATATATGTGAACGGCGCTTTAATCTCTGAAAAGCTGAAAAAAAAAAAAGACTTAGTTTTAGATATGGGACTCCTGGAATTTCTGCTTCCAGAAATTTTTTCATGTGTCAGCTCATAGATTTCCTTGCTAAATTTAGCGGGCGAATCGGATTGTTCAGTTCAGGTATCATCATGTGACTGGACGTCGCTGGTCACACGGGTGTTTCCCTGTTGAACTTGTCGAGGAAATTCAATTAGCTTTTTAATGCCTTCTAATCAAATTTCAATGGTCGGTCCTATAAATACCGCATTTCATACATGATAGGTTTTCCGTGTTTTCGGACAAATCTGAAAATTTCCGAAAAACACTCGCTGGTAAAATTTTTGTTGATTTGGATATATCCGAAAAACTCGGAATTTCAAATTCACAATGGCAAAATAAAAATAAACAGTATTTTACGAATAAAGTTTGTCAAGCACAAAATAGAGTAATTTGTTTTCTTTTTCCGGGCTTATGCCAAATTTATGTTTTCCTTTCATTTCGGCAAAGTGCCGAGATAAACGCTTCTGCAAAGGACATTGTTCCAGTTTGGACCATACTATTTGTGGTTCTTGGTAGAGAAATGGGTTGTGTTTTTGTAACAGTGAAACAAGCCATAGATTTTATAGAAGAGCAGCTGAAGCTTTTATGCTTCTCATTGATTACGTTTAGGAGTTTGGCTATTTCGAAGTGTTGACGTTTATTCATCAAGATTTGTTGCGGGACAGTTAGTACTCCCAGTCGCAAGGGTGATCAGGAGTGCTAACCTTTCTCGACTTTATGCGGGTTTTTGCCCAAATTTATTTATTTTTATTTAAAATATTTGAAAATTGGGAACACTGTAAAATAAGTTCACAATTTCGGAGAATGATGAATCTAACAAAGGTAATCCGCTATATGCCCTGAATTTCCAGCAAAAAAAAAATTAAAATAAATAAACTTAGAAAAAAGCTTTCAAAATTTCACAAAAAATCAACTCCGAAAATGCGGAATCTTAATTCGAGCCTTTGGCAACATGTCCTTTGTTCATTTATTTTGTTTAAAGGGGCCCTGCAATGACTTTTTACTAATTTTTAATTTGCACCGAACGTGAGCACACTGAACGTAGTAACTTAGTGAAACCTTTCTTTTCTCAAATTTCGCTTTATTTTAAAAGTTATAGGCAAATTAAAATTACAAAAACAAGCAAAAAATAACCTCCCCCATGACGTCCTTGGTTGCTTGAGAGTGACCGTGAACTAGAGGAGAAGTAGTGAGCTCATCGAGCGCTCACGGCTGCCGCACTCCGTGTCGACGGCGCGAGAGGGCGCCATTGAAGCGTGTTCTGGATAGGCTGTATGCAGCGGGCAGTCAGAGCGGCTCTCATTGCGTTTGCTGCGCGATTAAATACTAATTCGGCATGACACTTCATTGGCCACAAACGACAGCAAACACCGGGTAAAGATCAGTTCAGAATGGGAGCTATTTTGCGCTGCCATACCGTGAAACGGCCAAACCGCAAGACAAAGTTTTTCGCCGAAGGCCTTCGGAACGCTCGGAGCCGGTCGGATCCTCCTGCCCAAACGATAGCAGCGCCGCCGCATACATCTGGGATTTTTCCGTGTCGGCGCCTGATCCCACTACTCCTTTCTAGTATGCGCCGCCTTTTCCACCGCTTGGTGGCGGGTATGTCGACGGGTCATTTCTTGTTTCCGTACTTTATGAACTGCATTGGTTTCTTTTTTTTTATCGAAAATACTAAATAAAAACTACTTTTATAAACAATTGAAACGGTTCGCGCTACTTATGTTTTGTATTTCGACTAAAAAGAAGCTTTTAGCGGCTCTGACCAGTAGTAAGCCCAGGACCAAAGACGTCACATTTTGCGCGCTTTCGGTACCGCGGGTCGCCCTCGTCGGTGGAGGAGGTTTCCGCGTCGTCTGGTTAAAATATAACGCACCGATATTTAGTTACTCTCTCCGTGCCCGCTGGCTTGCCCAAACCCCAAGAGACTTGGAAACCCCAAAAAAGGTAGACGCTTAAATATGATTGCAGGGCCCCTTTAAGTCTAGTTAAAGTCTATACTCTGTAGTTCATTTTGTAGCCACATTAATTTGTACATTTGATGTTGTTTTTGTGTTGCGCTTGTTCTTTTTGTCTTTTCACGAGCAACAATGTAAAGGCCCACATGGTTGTTTTTGGACACATAAAATGAACAATATTATTATTATTAAGTCTGGAGAGTGAACACTTATAATCACTGACACGGTGAAAATGGCAGGGGGACTCCCTGGCTTTGGTAGCGCTTTGGCGTCACGTGAGCACTGCGGTCTCGTCTCATGAGCACGGCGGGAGGCAACAAGCGTGTGTTGGAGGCCGAGCATTCGAAGGAGGAGACGCCTTGCAGTTCTCGTCCCATCCGTGACCATTGTCAAGAGAGCGCGCATTGGCCAAACCCATTTGCCCTTCCCAATGCGCCTCTGTCCTTTCGTTTGGAATCCAGAGAATGTGAAGGTCACCTACAACCTGAGGAAGAGGACCGCCCTCCCTCGCCACGTGGTCCAGATGCAAGCACCAAACAAGCCGCGACACGTCGACGGGTCCATTTGCAGATACAACGACTACGGTGTGTCATGGCAGCTCATCTTTTTGTCTGCGTCGAAGCGGGGTTAACTTTTGGGCACGGCCCCGTCTGGTTTCAGTTTCAATTTGTCCCTGCCCCTCCAAACTCTGACATCCTTTTCTTTTTGTGTGTGTGCGTGTGCATGTTTGTGCGAGTGATGAAAACAATGTTTTGCCTTGCGGTGTCACCTCTTGATGGCGTGTAATTTGTTTTTGTTAGGCAACTTCGGTTTCGGCATGCTTCTTGGTTACAGAATGGAGAAGTTGCGTCGTTTGGTGCAACGCATTCGCTTCGCATGCTTACTTTTCCGAGGGACGCAAACCCCGAAATTGCCTAGAAAGAGACGGAGCAGCCTTAGAGGGAACATATCGGTGGCTACATTCTCTTCAAAAAAGCCTATTGCTAACTTTTGTATTTCTTGCAGGGGTGTGACATCTGTACCTATTGCGCCATTTTGATACAAACCCGATTTCCTGCGCCTAGGTGTGCCGAAAACGCGAAATTGGTCGAAATTGCGCCAACACTGCGCCAAAGGTCACTCAAAAACTAAAAGAAAAAAAATGTTTGCTGCGACGCTAGATTTAGCGGGAAACGAGAGCTTGTTTGGCAACATTCAATCTCGTCATAGTAGAGTACACGGCACAGGTGCAGGGTGACGCAAGCAACCGCCGGATTCGAAGATTTCAGCTGTAGTACCCTTCTATACCCATGATACATGGTCTTTTTTCGATTTTCCTACTACTCTGTGCACTTTACGGTGTCATTTGTGACTGCATGGTACCGGTGCGTTGTCACGCGCTCTCGCTGCCTGGCTGCAGGAGATACGACGCACAGGCTATCAAGATGAGCAAACCTAAGTATTTCTGTCGTTTCGAGAGTAAAATATTTCTTAAAAGCCTTTGAGCGCCTCAATTGGGTAATTGTTCGTTTGTGTCCGTAATCTTTTGTCAAAATGGATGGCGCCGCCGCCGTGAGTACTTTCAGTTATGACACATGTGCTTCCGGTGCGTGAACAATCGAATGAATCGGTCACACACCCGTATTTAGCGTGCATGTGCTGCTCATAGTTTTTCTACCGATTCACTGTTTACCTTGTGACTCACTTTCGTGTGAGTTTTTTCTATCTGCACGTGCTTTCTACGAGCGTCTGATCGATGTCTGGTTGTAGTAAACTGTGCTTCCCTGTTCATGCTCTCGAATCACCACTTTAAAAATTTTTGCACTACAATTGCGTTTTGGCACCAGTTCATATAAGCTTGAGGTACCTGGTGCCCACCCAACTTTGCAGCAAGCCTGTGTTTCTTGTCCTCATCTATGCGCATTAAACTCGCGTGCGCCTTTTCCGTTTTTTTTCTTTAATATATATCTTATCTAGGTGCGTATCGGCGCTGATGACTTTGGAACCAGGGTGAGAAAAAAATAATGATAAAAAAAATCGGATTCATCTGATCGAAATCAGATTTTTTTTATGATTTAAATTGCTGATAAGCTGCTCTAACATTTTCTCCTCCTAATCTGCCCCGAACTGTAGACTTGTCTGCTTCAAAGTGGCTCCAAAATGCATAAACTGCTGCTCCAAAACGAGAATTTTGTGCTCCTAAGCTGCTTCAAAATCCAGACTTTTCTGCTTCAAAAATTGCTCCAAAACCTGTTTCACCTGTCTCACCCCTGTTCTTTCTTTCCACTTGCAGGGGGCACGTTTGTGCGAAAGAATGTCGTGCGCGCCGAACTTGTGGTGGTGATCCGTCGTCTGACCGCCAGCGAATTGGCGAAGCAACTCGGGGTGATTATTTTGTTTTCCTTGTTTTCTAGCGCCTGCTTGGTTTCGAGCGGGCATCTATTTTTGTATCGGTCCGCTGCAGCCATTCGATTGGGATGAGCCCTTTTCCCAAACGGCTGTTTTTGACATTTGGCTTATGTTTTTGTCATGGTTCTTGGAATTACCACAAAGTACTTGTATGCATTTTTTTTGTGTAACTTCCTTATTTGGATACTTAGCTAGGCTTGGAACTCTTAGGTTTCAACTAAAGAGTGTCAAGGTGTACCTTTTGAGAACATGTTTCGGTTCTCAAACTTCAGTCCGAAGTTTAGTTCAAGAACTTCGGAACCAGATGGGGTCCTTGTTTCGTCAAATTTGCCTCAATCTGATAATTACCAAATATGCCCAAAATTATTTTCCAAATGGCCCCCCTTTCTGTCTGCACAGCAGGCTGGGTAGGGAGTATGTAGGCATGTGACGAGGAGCCTTTTTTGTAGCATTACAGTGTTGCGGGGAATTTTTGCTCATTTGTAGAAATAGTGTGCTTTTCTGTATGAATTAAATTTCATATCTGGAAACTAATACTCATAGGGAAAGCCTTCTTGTATATACAGATCTGAATCTGCCGATTTAAGAGTTGTGCTTTGTTTGGGATAAAATTGGCAGCTTCTATTTCAGTCTGTCAATCAAACTGTCTTGTGCAGAACAAATTGTAATGGAGTGCAACTGGAACGGTTTTCATGGTTTTTATTTGCCCACATTAAGCATGCGATGTCACCTGTCGTATGACATGGTCACATGATGTTGCAATGTCATGTGTGTCAAGTGACATCATGTTGCACGTGACATCACATTACATGTGACATCACGTCACATGGCACAGAGTCATGTGACTTTGTGACATCCCAACGAGATCTCGCTCAGCATGGTAATGTGACGTGATGGCATGTCATATTACAATATGAGATCCAGCGTGACTAGACCTAATGATGATAACTCCGTGACGTCCGCTGATACCAGATCTCTCTGTAACTTGGCACAGTGATGTCACGTGGTATGCAACACAAAATCTGGGTTGATTCTGTTGGAATGTAATTCTGCATTAACCGCTCCGAGGACGTAAGCCTTGCCTGTCGTTAGTTTGGGGGGGGGGGGGGGAAGGGAAGGGGGAAGGGAAGGGAGGAAGGGAGGGGGGGAGGGGAGAGGAGAGGAGGAGGAGGAGGAGGAGGAGGAGGAGGAGGAGGAGGAGGAGGAGGAGGAGGAGGAGGAGGGAGATCGGATCAGCCACTAAGACATTTCAAGAATTCCTTGAAGGCCAATGTTCTGTTTGATCAAGCATTCACCGACTTGCGGGAGCTATTGCTGCACCTCGGAAAGGCTTGGGTGTCACATTTTACTGCGTTTATTGGTTTTCTCTGACACGGCTTTGTCCCACTTCTGTGGAAAGGTGTCCGAGAGCCAGGCGTCCCAGAGCACAACGAGCGGCTACTTCAGGGATGAGGCGGCCACGGGGAGGCCCACCACACCCCACGAGAAGGCAGCAATCAGGAGACTGTGAGTCGCAGATTTGCAATCTTTGTGGATTGTTGTCTGGGCACTCTGGCAATTTTGTTAGCTGACCCAACCAACTGTTTTTTCTGAATTCCCGGCCTTTGCCTTTTCCGGTATACTATTTAGTGTTGCGAAGTTCGGAATAGTTATTATGCAATTGGTAATTGAAGGTGATAACAAAACCAACATTCAAATATAGCCGCGCTTACAGTGTCATGACATCACTGGCAGGCGGGTTTGCGGGTCGAGAAGGTGGTGTAAAAAAGAGGGTATGCCGAGCATCTGTTTTGTGCTGCTGTGTGGGTACTGGAGCAAGCTTCCAAAGCATTTATTTGACACCTTAAAACTGCTCGTAATCAGTTCGGAACAAATTCTACAGTTTATTTAAAGAATGAACCCGTTTCCCACTGACGTCGCATCTGTGTTGCCAATAGAGACTTTCAGTTAGGATAAAAAAAAATAGAGAAGTCTAAAATTGTTTATTCATGAACGTCATGCAGATAATGATTTTGCCCTAATATTTGGGTTACTACTACCGTGTGCACATACACTAACGCATCGAACCTAATTTAGACGGTCCACAAACACCAATTTCTCAAGGTATTGCACTGGGATTCACCACAGCGGTGCCCATGGGTGGTGCATTCACTATTTGAGAGTATGAATACATAAAACTTCCAAAATCAGAATAAAAGAAAAATGGTTTTGTTTATAAAAGAATTGTTGCTGAGCCTGTTCTCTTGTTCATAGAAAAATTGTTCTGGGCTATTTACCGTAATTACCCGATTCTAACGCACACCCGGTTTTCATGCGCAAGAGAAATAGGTGTTTGTGCACAAAGAACAAGCAAAGTTTATTTGCATGTAAGTGCTGTGCTCGTAAGCCTATCACTCGTCCTCACTTTCGGACAGCTCTTTGTCACTCTCCATGTGCCACAGCATGTCGTCCTCGGTGCCGTCCATCGCGTTCGAAATTCCGCACTTCTTGAATGAGCACTCGACCATAGCAGATGGGATTGTGCTGCACGCCTCGGAAAGCCATCCAGCCATCTCTTCTAGAGACGCGCTCTCCGTGGCCGGGAAACTGCCCTGTCCGTGGCCCGTTGAATCCTTTCCGGGTCAACTTGCTTGCGAAGATTTTTTCGCTTTGCTTTTGCCAGTCACAAACACAAGTTTCGGGCACACCAAAAGTATGCGAAGCAGCCCTGTTGCCGTTCGTCTCCGCAAATAAACAAACTTTCTTCTTAAGGCTGGCCTCCGCGCCTTAACTGGTGCGGTGGCCATTTCAGCTCCGCAAGTACGAGTTGTCTGTCTCGGCGACGCTGACAACTGACAACAAAGCAAATCGCTAGAGCAGCTCCTCAGGTTGCGAAATTCAAAGAGAGATTGCGACCACGAGACCATGTGTGTTGCGCTGTTGTGCAGAGGGCGCAGAGGCTACGTCGCCATCTTGTAATAGCGATGACAGTGAGACTGCCGGTAGCGTGATTTCGGTTTTTGTTTCGGTTTCATATTCGATTGTAACGCGCATGCCATTTCTAGCTGTATTTTTCTTGAAAAAATGTGCGCGTTAGAATTGGGTAATTACGGTATACGTTTATTAGAACTGAAAGAAAATATGATTGGCTTGCCTATTCTTCGCTTCATTTGACCCATATAAATGCCATAGTGACAAAATATTATTTAAGTGTGCATGCGTATAGGGAAAAATTATTGTGGTTTACTCAGATGAGCCAATCTTTTTACAATTTTAGTGAAAGCCTCCACCATTTTCAGGCACCTGTGTAGTAAATTCTAGTGCAATACGTTAAAAGCCTGATTTATGTTGTTATTGTCCAAAGTGGGATCGAGGCATTAGTGTACACGCTGTAGTTTACCAATGTTCGTTGGTGTGTTTGCTCAATTTTGAGGCAAGTTAGGAGCTATGAAGAACATGTCGAAGGTACTCCTCTTAAACAATCCACAAATCTTTATTGAAAAACTTGGACAATTTGCACAAAAATAAACTATCACTTGGCCTCAAGATGTTTGTTGCTCTCGCTGTTGATTGCTGACCATCTGATATGTCCATTCAGTAGTTCACTGCATGGTACCGTTGGAAACATAGAGGAAGGTGGAGAGTATAACAAAAGATCTAGAGGCCAGAGGAATGGTTTCTTTATTTTTGCACAGTTTGCTGATCTTACGTGACATTCTCCTAGTCATCAGGGATGTGGTACAACTCGGCATCGGAAATAGTAGAGCACTCATCACTTTCAAATAAAAGTTGCTGTACTCGTGACCTAAAGCGAACTTCTGCATTGAAGCTATATCGCGGCAAAAAATGCTCATGTATGAATGCAACACCCCCTCTACTGCAAAGGCACTGGTCTCCCTTTCCACATCATTCCTCACATATGGCAAGGCTTTCTCTCGCTCCCCTTTTCCCCCCCTTTCTCCCTGTATAGGGCGACCATAATCCTCGGAGTGAAAAACAGACCACAAAGAAGAGGCAGAAGGAGGGCGGGGGTGAGGCAAGGCAGGAAGGAATGCTCTGCTTCACACAAACATAAACACATATTTTTCCAAAGTTCTTCCTTAAGAACACTGGTGCTTTTCTTCCCCATTTCTGAAAGTGAGGAAGAAATGTCGCCAATTGAAGCACATCAATTTCAGTAACATAGAAGGGGCGAGGGAGCGTGCCGACACGCTCCCTTGCCTCCCCACTGCCGCCGCCCCGGGTTTGTTTCTGGTATACTCCGTGCCTCTATAGAACACCTCGCGCACTCACTTTCGCTTCTTCCACTGCAGGCGCAGTCACGGGCATCCCTAGCCTAAAAAAATATTCTGCCAAAAAAAAAAGAACATGTTTTTGTGTTCTTTTCCAACAGATACAACATCTCGCACAATCCTTCTATCAAGGCACACATCTCCTCGCACATGTCAATCAATTCCGCTGAAAGCAAAGAAGCCATTGCAAACATTGTACAGCACACAGGCCAGAAGCAAATCTCTTTCAACATGTCTTTCCAGAACGCAGCAGCTACCACTGTCGATCGCAACCCACATTGTGTGGTCACTTACAATTTTGTTTAATACGACGTTCCTCGGGTGCACAATTCTGCCCAAAATCAGGCCCTTTTTGGATCCTGAATTGGGGAAATTGTTGATTCTGGAGGACGGTGGCATGAGGTTAGGTCGGTCGCCACGGGTTGTCGCAAATATCCGTTGTATTAGGTCAGAGCTGGACGAGAGCGCTCGGAACTATACTGGTCGGTCGTCATCGGTTAAATCTTGAAAAGAGATGCAAGAGCAACTTGCCGTCGTCATGATGTCATAATGACATATATAATCTTCACCCCATGGTGTCATGTGACATTGTGATAACGTCGTGATATTGCACGACATTACAGTGTCACATGACAGCTGTCACTTGAAGTCATGGGGTCATGTTGCAATGATGTTGCAGAATAATGTGAGGTCACACACACGCTACCTATGCCCTGCTTATTTGCGACACATTATGTGCGTCTCCAGATTTATAGAACGTGACCAAGACTTGTTTATATTTTTTTTAATGTTCATCTTTCCTACACAGGCTCAACAACAAGGAGCAGAAAAAGCGGCAGCGTGTGAGAAGCAGCTCGGATTCCGAGAACATCGACAGTGCAAACGAGCTTGTAAGTCTCCAAGGGCAGTCATTTAGTATATTCGGTACTGTCCTTTTCAAATGCACTAAGAAACTGTCTGAAAACGGTGCTGCTTTTGCAAGATAAACTGCACTTTTTAGTGAACTGACTAGGTTATAAATGGATATGGGACTTTTAAAAGCCACTGCTAAAAAGCACAAAAGCAGCGAACCTCAAGCGTGACCATTTCTCTCGCAGCCCAAGCCCGACACCCGGCCGCAACAGAAGAAGCCTGCGTTGGGAAGTGCGAGCCAGCAAGTGCCACAAAGAATGTCACTCGCAAGGACAGTTTCTCCAACGCGAAGCTCGCAGCCGCAGGTCGGTGCTGTTCTCTCGAAGGCCCAAGTGTTGCGCCATGAACAGCCGCAGAGTCTGGCGAGTACATCGGCCCCTGAAGTCAGGACGCCTTCCGAAGATGCCAAAAGCAAGACAAAGAGCGCTCGAGATCAGGGTGCAAAAACCTTGACTTCTCATGGCAGTCACTCGAGTCGTTCAGGCAGTGGTCATTCCAGTCGCTCGAGCAGCCTACCACGCGACCGCGAAGCGAAGCAGACGTTGCGAGCGGATTCGCGTGGGCCAGAAAGTGAGGATCTCGTGGAACGGCAGACGACAGAGCGGCAGGCAGCGAATCGGCAAACGGCGGACCGACAGACTGCGGACCGACAGACTGCGGACCGACAGACTGCGGACCGACAGACTGCGGACCGACAGACTGCGGACCGACAGACTGCGGACCGACAGACGGCGGAGCGGCAGACGAGTCGGCCGAAACAGACATCCGAGAAGCAGTCGACGCAGCGGTCGAAGAGCAGCAGGGACCACAAACCGTCAAAGCACTCAAAGGATGATGGACGCCGGCCACACAAGGAAAACGCAAGTCATGGCCACAGGCACGACAGCAAACGCGAGAAGTCTTCACACAGGGACGAGGGTTCGTCGTCCAAGCGACGAAAGGGAGACCACACTGCCATCAAGCCGAAAAAAGAGTCGCATTCAACGAAGAATGTTGCTTTGAAGCAGTTGCTGACGGTCTGCGGGATCGGGGACTCCGACTCGGACAGCGAAGCAGAAACGTTGAGGAAGGAAGATAAGATGGAGACGGTAAGGACGTCGCCAGACTCCACGCAAACGACGGTTGAGACCAAGGCAAAACGGGAGAGCATGGACGATTTTAAGGAGCACCGTGCGACGACAGTGGCGGCATCGAAGAAGTCGTCTGCTAGCGGAAAGCAGAAAAGAGAAGCGGAGACGTTGAACAGGAGCCTGTTCCTCGAACTCGACGAAAATGAGGACCCAAGGTCGTCGCCAAACGTCGGGTCGTCTGCCGTCTCAGAGCCATCCGAAAACTTCAAGCTGTCTGCCGGCGTCAAGTCGTCCGCTAGTACTGGACCTTCCGTCGAATCCACCTTGTCGGCGCACCAAGAATACGATCCTGCCTCGCCACAGGTGCCACAAGACCCACCAAAGTTGCGCGCTGTAAGCTATAATCCCACACCCGTTACAAGCGTCGCGGTGGAGTACACCCCGACAAAGGCAGCCGTTGGCAGCTCAGTTCTCGAGCGCAAGGTGGCACCAACCGTCAAGGAGGACACCTACGTGCCTTCGACAACGAGAGCCCGTGTCAGGCTGGAAGGGCCGTCGTACGTGCCATCTGCCATGACGTCTTTACCAAAACAGGTGAGGTGGTGCTAGTTTCTGCTGGTAGACAAGGCTTTGGGAAGAACTGAGGTACAGGTTAAGGCTTGATGACATTTGATTTTGAGTACAATTAGCTGTTATAACTGCTTGTGACCGTTTACGATAAGAGACCTCACTGGCGTTGTGTGTCAAGCAGTGGGATCCCGTCCGATCGGCGTATAACTAGAACAAAGTTTTTCTGTGTTTGTGTGATCAAATCTATGCACTATCTATGAGAAATTGTGCCTTTTTAACATTGTCAGTATTAATTCAAGCACACTGAAAGTGACGCACAGAATATAGGGAGGTCACAAGTGTTCCGGAGCTACTGATAGATGGTGCCAGTGTGTTATTCTTTCCCCTTTCTGAACAGCTGGGAAGTAATGTCTACCAATCAAAATTCCCCGCACTTTCATCTGAAAATATGTTTTGTTCGCACAGACTCGTAGGGGAGACGTTTCCAACACGACAGAATTTAGTGTGCTGGAAAAATCGGTCGCCAACTGATTTTTTGAACTTTGCAGGGACTGAAAAAACATTTTAATAATAGAGCAGTCCGAAAAATCGGCATATTAAAAAAACTTGCCTTTATTGCGTCTAAGCGGGCTTAAAAAAGCTGTAAATAGTGCCTTGCTTTAGGTTACGCCTGAGCGCCTTGTTTTAGGTTACGCCTCCGTTTGCGTTCAGCAATTTTCTGTTAGGTTAAGAATCGCTGCCTTCTTTTCTAGCGTTATGGTCGAGTACTTTCTGTGCTTAGCGACACATCGCGGCGGCGGAAGAACAGATGAGGCAATGACGTCCAAGCCAGCGTAGTCCGAAAACATGATTCACCGAGATAGAGATGAGAGGTAGTGGTGCAAAACTATCGATACTACTATCGATAGTATCGATAGTCGCCAGAAACCTGACTATCGATAGTGAAAAAAACTATCGATAGTACTATCGATAGTCGACTATCGAAAAACTATCGATAGTCGACTATCGAAAAACTATCGATAGTACTATCGATAGTCGACTATCGAAAAACTATCGATAGTACTGATAGTCGACTATCGAAAAACTATCGATAGTCGACTATCAGAAAACTATCGTTAATCGACTATCGGAAATTTATCGATTGTCGACTATCGTAAACCTATCAATAGTACTGTCGACAGTTTACTATGGATAGTTTTGCGACACTTGTAGTTTGCGTCGCTCCCTCTTGTCTATTTATCGCTTTAATTTTTTCTTTTTTTTTTTTTCAAACGGGGCACCAATTAGCCCAGGCACTTACCATCCCAACTTTGGTTCAGCTTTCAGTGATGACGAAGATGGGGGTTTGGGCGAAAAAAGAAGGGGGAGGCGAGCAGTAAGGCGAGGGCAAGACGGGCCGGGGAGGAGGAAGCAGACGGACCGCTGGAGAAGAGAGGGGGAAACCTCCTTCTCTCTTTAGCGTTCCGTCTGCTTCCTCCTCCCCGGCCCATCTTACCCTCGCCCTACCTTCTTGAGTTGTAACTGACTATAGTGGTGCAAGACTATCGATAGCACTAGCGATAGTATCGTTAGTCGCCAGTATAGTAAAAAACCATCGATAGTCGACTATCGAAAAGCTATCGATAGTACTATCGATAGTCGACTATCGAAAAACTATCGATAGTACTATCGATAGTCGACTATCGAAAAACTATCGATAGTCAATTATCGAAAAACTATCGATAGTACTATCGATAGTCGACTATCGATAGTTCTGGGACACTATCGATAGTTTTGGAAAAACTATCGATAGTCAATTTATCGATAGTTTTGCATCACTAATGAGAGGCCCAAGTCCATGACTGCAATGCCGAATGAACAAAGCAAAATGGAAATAACAATGGTAATAATAATGAAATGCAAGTGGAAAAAAAAAAAAAAAGCCGTACAGGGTCACCTAGCAGTATTTACCTAAGTAGCGCTGCCAAACCAAGGTAATCCATGTGCTGCCAACATAGAATCCAATATGCCCGCTTCTTGGTAATGTTTCCCGCTGATTGCTCGCGACGATTTTGTCCGAAAAATTTAACTTTCAAACTTTCAAGTTGTTTGAAATATTGCTTGTGAATATGCACTATTTCTATAGGGTAGGTCACTGTTCCGAAATATCGAAGAAGTCCGAATTATCATCGGAAAAAACTGTCGGCGACTGTATCAAAGCATTTTTTAGCAAAAAAATGTCTGCAACAAAGTTTCCTTTCCTTTTTTTTCTTCTTTTTTTTCACACTTTTACGAAAACGGGACGTGAGACTTTGCTGCAACAAAATTACGAGACGGCAGAAATGACTCCCCCAAAACGGGACGTCTGGCACCCTATTCTGTCTGTGCTCTTTTAATTTTAACAGAGTGGTACATACAAACTGATGTCATGTGGAGGGAGTGCATTTTCTGTAGTAGAAAAAGCATGAAAGAGTGGTGCATTTACAACACTGGATTTTAAGCAAACCTATAATCAGCTATCGTCCCAAAGAACATGAATATACAAGGTGTCTAATTTTAAATTGAATGGATTGTTTTATTTTTATTTTTTTTTAAGCGTGAAAGGCATGTTAATGTGGTCTGTGCAGGTGACTTATATGGCCAGGGGGACATAGTATATATGGTTAATTCCCCCGATAAGTCAGATATTTACCTCAAAATTATTAATTGCCTTTTTAGTGGAAATAAACATATAGTTTCAATTAGAGGTTTGCTGAGCATCATCCAAAAAACTGCGAAGTTATTTTTAGAGAGACTTAAAGCATGTGGGAAGCGCTGGGGTGCATTGAAGTTGCACTCAAGCAGCAGGAACAAGGCTAGTGGTGAAAATGGTGAAAGTACACGGAATTCCCGAGAAAAGAGACCCTTTTTTTTCGCCTCGGATAAAAGCTATTTTATGCATAGTAGAAAACTCGGGCTCCGTGAGAATGTGACGCTAGCAATTGGGATAGAATGCGAAAGTTTGAAAACATGGCATTACTTGGATCAAAAGATAATTAAGAAGCTCATAGAACTCTTCTATGAGCTGACGTAGCCTAATATTGTCAAGACGAGAAATTGTACTGTAGGTGCCTATAGCATTTTTTTCGGTGAAAAAAGGAAGCTCATCAGCGAGAGAGAAAACAATATTTTCTTTCTTGCTGACAAGTGTTTTTCACTGAGATGAATCCCACAAGCGTCCACAAACTGGACGTCGCCTTATGGATATTTAGTTTCCTCAATTATCCTTTGATTCAGGTAACATCATGTTCTCAAACTTTTGTATTCTATCCCAACTGCTAGCATCACATTCTCACAGAATTCAAGCTTTCTGTGATGCATAGTTCTGTTCTTGCTCGTTGCCCTTGTCCAGTTGCACTGTTTTTTACCTCAAGAGGTTGAAACAGTAAAAAAATAAGCTAAGTTTTCTATTTTCTGCAAATATCTGCAGCTGTATGGTGGACATCTGTGATACTTCTAAGGACGGATGCTACTTTTTATAGGCTTTTTTGCTCTCTTTGGTAATAATTTGGGTACTTACTCTTCAGCTGGTAACTTGTGGTTTTGTCGAAGAACACTGGTGGTAAAAAGCACACATCTGTTGCCACTAGTCTTTTACACTGCATCGTCTGCTATCGTGCATGCCCTTTCCTGTATACTTACTTTTGTGACAAAATCTATGATTGACAGGTGATTAGTTTTTAATTTTTTAGTCTTGTTGCAGGAATAACTGCAACTGGTAAAGTCTTTGTTGTTGCAGCCAGATATATTTGCTGTTGGTGCTGCCACCTAGTGGGCAAATAGAATCTCTGACAGGTTCAAAGGTGGAAAGTAGCTACTTCCTAGCCTCGATTTATAACAAATGCCTCTGGAGGTATACAAATAAACTTTTCATAATATTGTAAATTTAACTAAAAGCTTTTCGAGCATTGTCATTTTCTTTTTGGTTTCACGTCTGAACAGAATCCGTTTGCAGACAGTGGGTTCAGGACTGCAGAAAGTTCACCGAAGCAATGCCACCAACCTTTCCGTTAATCCACTCGTTCAGTTTGAAAATATTTTTGTTTTAGCTCATGCCAACATTCAAAAGATACCTCAAAGTTCCTCAAAGTTTGTCATTGAGAGCACAGTGGAATTCGGACAAGTGGTGAACTGTACAACATCTGAAATGGTTAGTGACAAAGTGCAGTGCTTACCTGAAAAATGCCATATCATCACGCATCTAGAGTATTCCCAAAAAGTTTCATTTGTTTACACTGCATAGTTATTTTTTAATATAAATTATCCTCAGCCAACTTTTGCTAAAGAAAGGGTAGAGGTTCGAGCACTTTGATCGCGTCTTTCTCTGTTCTAATTTTTGGCATAAATTTCAATTTAGGAGAACTGTCGTTTGGTAACAGGACAAAAGCAAAGGCTCACTCATAATTTTTTTTTTTCTAACTGGAATATAATGGGCAATGCAACTGTGGCATTGTTTTGTTTACTTCGTCGATGTCTTTTATAAAATATATTAAGATTTTGTCAACGACATAAAAGGCAAAACAGTTATTTGATTTTTCAGTGCGGTGTTAGCATAATATGAATTGGTTTTTGGCAATTTCTTTTTCACATTGGCACTCTCCAGGTATTCTGCTGCATATCTAATAAAGAAAAAAAGTTGGGTATTAAATTAGCTTCCTAACGATAGTTTTCCTAAACAATGTCAGTGTGTTCCTGACAAAAACGACTATAATTTCTTTCCCAATTTATGTACATCGATGAACCTTTGCACTTCATTCTGGCTCGCAACTGTGAATATATACTGCAAGTTTTATTCATATTAAGCTTAAAGTTTTTAAAAGCTGACCCTTTCGGGTAGTGTCCTCCCTTAAAGGAAATGAAAGGTGGCCTGTGACACGTGTCGATCCTCGTCGGGCACATCGACTGACTGACAGCCCGTTTTCCTCGCCGCTGCAGGAGGAGAAGCCGAAGAGGAGGGAAGAGTACGTCCCGTCCAGCGTGGCGTCGACAACGTCGAGCTCGCGTTCGGTGCGGGGACGTTACGAGGAGTACGTTCCGGAGGCCGTGGGTAGCGCATCTCGCCGCCACCAGACGACGGTCGACTACGTCCCGACGCCCAAGAGGGAGGCGGCCACCGCCTCCGGCGACGTTCCAACCACGACGAGCACGCTGCCGCTGTCCGAGGTGCCCGAGGCGAGGTACCGCGTCGGCGGCAACACAAACAACACCCAGGAGTCTTCGGGGAGGTCAAACTCCATCCTGGACCAGGAGATCCGGACGGCAAGGTACTACCACAGCCAGATGCGGCACTAAGAGTTTCTCGTTTGTTGTCAAAAGTTTGTTTTGGCGTTGGAAAGGGAGGCCCTGCAGTGCCGTTCTTGTGTCGCGGCCGTTGTGGACGGGTGGAAGGGGCCATCCGACCCAGCCTTTTTATGGCTTCTGCAATCCCCACTGGCTCCATTATCTTCGAATATGTCGAATAGTCTGTAGCATGGAAGCTCAAACTTAGCATTCCGGACCACAGCCCTCTCAAAAACTGGCAGGAATGTAAAAAAGGTGTGAAGGACCGTTCCGGCTCGTATTGTCCTCGGTATTTTATGGAGGGGGATCGGTGGCCAAGCCTGGTAGCAAACTGCTGCTTGAAGCGCACAACGCAAAAGCTTGCGCTGCATTACCCAGGATTTCGGGTTCAGTCCCCTCCCCTGCTTGTTTCTTTCTGGATGAGCATTGTACCGGCGTGCAGGTCATGTATCGGTATTGCGTGATTCACGTTAATGACCACAGGCTAGCAGTCGTACTGCACTACCTAAATCTCTTCTCTACAACATAAACCAGTGTTGCCACATGTCGACTGCAGACCGACCTTGCGCTGCCTAAACAGAAACGTCCGATTTAATTCTTTTCATTTTTGGTGTGCACTTTATCTCGCGCGAGTTGAATTGTGGTGGTGCCAGCGTGCAAATAGCCTCCAACAACTTCCTGTTCTGAACTGAACGGCGGGTTTTGCAGTATTTGCGAAATCAAATATACACGCTGTCTTCTGGAAATGGCCACTTATAGCAGCACTGCCAGACTTCATTCACTGTTACAATAGAAGAACAATGATTAAAATATTAAGAAATATACGTGAACTGGAAGTGTGCCGGGGCTACCCAATTGATGGCGCCGCTGAGTTTGTTGCCAAACAAAAAGGGCCAAATACGTGGTTTGTGCATACAGTCATCGTACCACACTGATGGTCATTCCTACTTGTTCCTGCCGAGAAAAAGAAGTTTGCCTTGGGCCACCACAGTGGTGACTGGCATGATGTCAGTGCAAACCACATATACTTCTTTGTTTCATTTTCGCGAGATTCTGTGGCCAATGCTTAGTGCTTTGTCTTGCCCTACCACGGACGTTGGCTGTAGCTATGGGCTGTCGGATCCAATCAGGAGCCAGAAAACATGCGGCACATTGCTCCGACGTTTGTATTAATGCACGCGTCTCTGTGCATGATATGCGCATGGAAGGAGTATGTCGCGTGGTTTCTGACCGGCTCGCAATTGGACCTCACGGCCCGTAGCTTTGACCGTAGTCCATCGCAAGGTGAGGCAAAGTATAGATGCATGGCCTCAATAAAAGCCATACTCCATTCACTCCTAGGCTGAGCGGCCGGTGGGATCTATGCGCCCACCAGGCCAATCGTCTGCCTTCCTTTCATTACCTGACCAAACTCTGCGTGTGGGTGCGGGCGAGAGCGTGATCCGATCGCGAAAGATGGACTTGCAACCGGTTCAACGAGCATGTAACCTCCACCGCCCCTTCAGCTTGGGGGCATTGGTTGAATATGTGCTCCCACCTATTCTAGCAATGCAGGCGGCTTTCAAAGGTTTTGAGCATGAAGCTGCATACTCGTTGCCTCTGCTGCACGTTTGGTTTGGTTCGGCTCGAAACGAAACGTGGAGGTGTTTAGCAGACCGCCTTCACGGTTGTGTTGCCGGCACGCGTCAGAAAAACGGACTACAAAGATGTAGCACGGGTGGCATTGGAAAGGTGGTGCTTCTAAAAGTTTTTACGCTGGCCGTGTTTTGGTGCGACTTCACTCTTGTGTGGTACCGCTTCTCACCTGCAAAGTCTTAATTTCTCTTAGTTGCCGGGTGAAAGTAGATAGGAGCCGTATCTATCCCCCGAACACTGGGAGCCGACGTAGTTCCACTGCCAGTGCCGCCTGCGTGCGGTGTTCTCAACCTTTTTCCGGGCACAGTTGTACATTGTTTCTCATACTTGGTGTACTGGAATAAAGTTTGTGGGGTCTGGCAGCCACTAGACTTCTTAATCATCTTTGATTACTTTTTGCAGCAACTTTTCCTCGTTAGGTTGGGTTGAGAGTGTTAATGTCCTGCTGCCTTTCACCTTCTTGCCATTGAAAGCAAACCTTCCACTGCTACGAATGCATACTTTGTGCTTCTTGCCAGGCTGAAATACAGAGTAATACATTTCTGAGGGACTTTTTCCCTGCTCTGTCCATTTGCTTTCACAGCTTTTGAAAACTGCTATCCAGAGTCCCAAGAAACCAATGAGGTTTCTTGGGACTCCAGATCGGTTGAGTTTATCTCTGTTGTGCCTAGACCATGTTTTGATAAGGGTCCATTGCCTGTCAAGTGTATTGTTCGACATGAAGCGGACCTTCGCACAATAATGCTGGAGGGTTGGTGGACAATTTTTAAAGTTTTAGTAATGAATGTCTAACATTTGTAAAGAACACTCGACGGAGGTAAAGGAAGAGTAGAAAAATATTGAGAAGTTCTGTTTAAATTCTCTGTACCGTACAGCTTTCTGTGGGGATGGTGGTGGTTTGACCACCTTGAAATTGTGGGAAAATGGCTGGCTGGTTTTGCCTTCTTAATCCTTTAGTGGTGAAAGAGCCTGGTTTAAAATTCGCCTAGCTTTGTTTTCTCCTCCGGACAATGTACGAAGTCATATTCTGGCTTGAGAAATGGTGGTCATCTCAGCTCATGCAGTTCTGCTGTCTTGGAAAGCTTAAACTGTTGGCAGCATTCTCTATGTGTGATTAAGTTACACAAATAGTTCTGATTGTTGCAATTGTGCGGTATGACCTCTTCCTTTAGAAGCCTCTTGGGAATCACTTTCAGGAAAGATGTCTGGTAACAATAGCTCAGTTGTTTTATGAGCAAAATGATCTGTGGAGTGTGATCTGTATGAAGACTATTATTATTCTTTTATTGGTTTTTGTGACACCTAGTTGGAGCTATTTCTAATAAGCATGGGTCATGGGTGGTTTTTATAAACCAATGTGTGGTATTTTTTCTAAACCACTTTTTGTATCGCGGGTCCTTGAAGGAGTTGTTTCTCATATTTCGCTACTTCTCGTAATGGAACAAATAAAACGGTTTCGGAAAGCTCAAAACCACGACTCCTCGTATTTATTTCCATCGCCTTTATTCCTGACATGCTTCTTTTTGCTTTGTCTCCCCGGACAGTGAGGTCAAGGATTTAGAAGAGAAGCACTTAAAGTACCTTTTTGACAAGTGCTTGCCCGAGATGGACGGAATCATAAGGAGAAAGGTACATGTCACTCTTAGTAGTGCTCTTTATTGTAAAATGTTTCCACTCCAAATGAACCACTAAGGCTCGTTTTACGCATTTGCCTTTGACTGTGTGTTAAGTTTTCCTGTAACTGCTTACAAGGACACATTGGTGCTATATTTCTAAAACCCTTGGAACTCTTTGTGCTCATACCTGCTTTTGCACAAGTGTTGAGTTACTAGCTTTGGTGTCCTTTTTTGTCTATGTTAAACCTTTGAATCACTAAAATGTGTACTCCAGTGCCATCATGCTTTCGCTTTTTCTGCATTTTAATCCATTCGGAAGCTCCACTTGGATGCGATTGTGACCTTGTAGCAACATTGGTAGCATACCATCTGTGAGTAATGACATCAGGTGGACCTTGGACAACGTCTCGCAGAGAAAAACACTATATGATTTGGTTTGTTTTCATCATTTTATTTTTAGAATTTGAACTCATGGTTAGCATCATTAAATTGTCTTCTAATCACGATTAAATTGTCTTCTAATCAGGATGCGCTCTCAGCTTGTCGAAAATTTTGGAAACTTGTCCAAAACCCTGCCTTTTCACAAATTTTGTCCCCACTACTATCAGGCCAGTCATAGCCACAAAAGTCTAGAAAATATTGTCATGTCAAGATGATTAATCAAGTGTTTGTGACAAAAAAAGAAAGCAAACACCTGCATGCGCACGACACACGCTAAAGTGACGAGCATAACATTCCCGTCCACAGATTGAGAGTTGGAGAAATGCAGACTACCATCGCGGCGGCAAAGCAAAAAGTAAGTCTCCGCTATCGTCCTTGTGGAGTCGCAAGGAACTGATTTTCTGTTAAAAGAAAGGGAGTTATTTGGGGGAACTTTGGTGGCAGGGATTCGCAGACTAGCATATCTGCCAAGTTCGGAGAAACCAAATCCGGAGGACTTTCTAAGCCGGGAGGGTTGTTTAAAAGAAATATTGCCAATAAATCGACATGAAGGTAACGTCATTACATTTATATCGCACTGCTCATGCTAGCGAGATACAGCTGGGCCTCGCCATCATTGCTGCCGTCTGTCGCTACGGCAGAAACTCTTTGTTTAAGTTGGTCGAAATTCGGGAGTCTCCTGGGACTTGGCAGGTATGGGCTAGTGTCCATGGCACGTAGCCACACTGCAGTCTTCTTTGCTGTTCATTCTGACAACTTCGTCCCATCGATTAGGCATTTAAGTGCTTTAGAGAAATCTGTTGGTTAAATTAGGCTAAATTAAAGGAATGCAATGCCTTCAATTCCTCTCCCCAAAGAAAATGAAAATGGATATTTCATGCACATGTATTGCAGCTTGAGTCTAAAATCGGAAGTAATAAAAGGCCTAATGACACACAGTGGACCAACATTCTTAGATCCATCAGTTGACAAGCTCCACGGAGGAGCGGCGTTCGAAAACGGTTCTTCTCTGTTGCATGCATGCAAGCAGGTACGGGCGGATAGCGTTCTTAGCGCCACCAGCTGCAACGCCTCCACGGGTGACGGTGACGGTGTCACGTGACCTTGCGGTTACGGCGACGCCGCTCAAGCTGGAAACGGGCCCCTAAGAGCTGCGATCTAAAAGCAATAGAATGACTTTCTATAGCAGGAAATGCACATCCAACGTTTCACTGGTTCCGCCACTTCTATCCATAGGGCAGGCCGATAGTGTAACAGGCGCCATAGAGGGGACGCACCCCAGAAAAGCGTTGGGCGTTCTAGGAAGCTTATAGACCGACTTCAACGTAGTAACATTGCAGTGGACTGTCCCGGTTCAGAGTGTGCAAACTTCCGCTCGTGAAATTTGAGCGGGGTAAATGTGCCACTTAAATATGGCCTCGTGGCAAACCATACTCGAGTCAGTTGATGCATTGACTTGGTAAAGAGATGGCACTCAAAAATTGTCTTTCGTACCTCTTGCATACCTGACAATTTGTGCAGCTTGAGCATTGTTATAAGCTGTGCACACAGATTTATGGATTGTGCTGCAGTACTGAAGAAACGCGTACCGGTACTCCTTAACCCTGCTTAACTAGTGTGAATGACAAAAGGAGTGGAAAACATTGATGCTGCTGTTAGTGTGATGGATGAACAATCCTCATCATCCACTGCCTATGTGCTAAACTTGAGCTGTGACATGGCTACAACAAAAGAATAGTGGGCATGCTTTGATTCAAGAATGGTTTGCACATTTGAATTCATTTGAGTATGACTGCTTGTGACTGCTTCCAATCTGACTGTAAGTAGGCATAAGGTTTTGCACTATTTGCGAGATTGAGTCACGTGGATGATCAAGCACGTGGATGAACGAGTGATGTATTATAGGGAGTTTTTGGAAACGCGTGCCAAATCGCTCCTACAAGAACTACACATCGGACAGAAAAAAGATTGATGAGATAGCGGTCTGTGCCAAAGGGCCCGTTGAAGAAAATTACTGGCGTTCAGTATAATTGGGTAATTCATACCTTTTCAGGAATGAAATTTTTAATTATCAATCTTAAAGGCATGGTTTCAATTAGAAGTTTGCTCGGCATTATCGAAGACTACTAAATCAACCCACATTACAATGAAATCGTGAATGCGCCCTTTCACGACCTCGATGGTCGTGAAAAGGCGTATTCAAAATGTCTCGTGGACTCTTTTTCGTGCTGTCGAATCTCGTTAATTCAAACTCGAGGGGTACCAAAAATTTGTATGAATAAAGCAAAGTTTGAATTATCAGGGGCTCCCTCCCATAGAGACGCATAGGACGGGACCTGCATGTTAGTTTGAATTATCTGCAAGTTTGAATCAAGATAGTGAATTAACGAGATTCGACTGTACCGTAATTTCGAATCTCGACGGTCGCCTATTGCGCCCGCTCCGCTTCAAGCGCCAGAATGGCGGCGCCCACAAAGAAACTGGAATGAAGTGTCGATACTCCTAAGCATAGCAGAGTATCTCCAGCGAATTCTATTAATGTGTTTACTAGCAGTGGCGGTTTCGGCCACGTTGTCGTCGGTCAGCTCCGGCTCGGCATTTGCGTCTTTGACGACCGCACGAGTTCGATCTTGCGAAAGGGGACCCTGACGGGAATTTTCCTTTCCAGGAAGCCTGACGTACAAGGTCTACTTCTCTATGTTCAGTAGCGCACAGATGAACCTCATCAGCAACCTGTTCATCGAGGAGTTTGTAGTGCGTCGACGGCTGGTAAGCAACTTCCCCCTTTATGTGTCTTTTTTTTTTTTGAGAATAGAATTACATTTGATAAACTCGTAGACGCAGAAAATGTGTTGCAAATGAGCCGGGCACATGCTGCGGGTGTGTGATGTGACGCAATACCGCAATATCATGCGACTCGATGTCAAGTCATCAGGATGTTGCACAACATATTTATGTCGAGGTCATTAGCAATCTAGCCCTTATGTGGCTACATTGCTTAAGTAGCCTCGACTTGTGCATTGGTCGAGCGTAAGGCGTCATTTTTCTCGTGAAACAGCCCAGCATTGCACTGTGTTAAAAGGGTCTTTCTTTCTTGTCCATACATCTTGCATCTCTAAAATACCTCATTTTCGTTTATATTTTGTGTTACCATTGTATTAGTGCATCTCAAATGCGATCATAGAAAAAATTTTGTTGCTTACTCGTGGTTGGTGTTATGTGTAGGTGCACCATGCAAAGGACCTCAGTGGTTGTTTTGGGGCATTTTAAATGAAGATTAAGATTATTATTATCATCATTGTTATAAACAATAAAGAATGTAATGGTAGCGATGTGCAAATGGGGCTGAAGGGACTCCTCGACATCAAAACGGCACCGTCCTCCAACTGGTAGGCGGTTCCTTAGTAGTTGAAGGTTCTCTAGCAAGAAAGCGATAGAAATGGGAACGGCCATGCCGCTTTTCCAGTTAACTAGACAGCAACGAGCCCTTTGAAAGAAGTCCAGTAATTGAACAGCCCCAGAGCACACCACCACCGTGGAATTCACGGTCCTCCCGATCGCGGTGGCATTTGCAGAGCGGCGACTACCTCAACCAAGTGCTGATACCAGAGTTCCTCATCCGGGTTGTAAGCGCCAACAAGGGAACTACCCACCAGGAGAGCGACGAGCTGATGGCCAGCATTCCGTTCGAACTCTTCAACATTCCCCTCCACTAGTGAGCCGGAGGGCCACGTCTACGAGGCCTCCGGAAGTGGCATCGAGGTGCAAAACTGTGTGAAACGCGTGGACTGGAGCGCAGAGTCACCGGATGCCGCACAGCCGACGAGATGTGTCGCGCATCGTGGGGAGGCCCGTTAACAGATTTTACTGCGATCCACTGCATCGAGTTTCCTCGCGACTGGTTACGAGCGAACACGAGCAGCCTCGGAACACTTCCAACCCTACGTGCCGACGGCAGACTCTGCAACGTGGCACCACCGCGCGGAATTGCGGTTTACGGCGACGGCGGCCAGTGAACTCGGAACTTTCGAGTCGTCTGTGGAGGAACATGCAGACTCGGGTTTGTGGGACTTCCCCAATGAAAAACAACGGTTCTTTGTCTTTGTCGTCGCATCTTAAACCTGCATATTTTGCAAGCTTGTTTTATTTTTTCTTGTTTCTACCAAAGTTGGCACATCTGTCGTTTGCCTGCCATAGTCATCATTTTTAAGATTTTATCTAAGATTACACAACTTGGAGTTTGCCGATTTATGATTATCTTTAGCACGCTGTGCCTGCACGAAGCACGTTGCAGTTATCTTTTTTATTTATGCTGACGCAAAGACATCGCTCAATGTAGAGGAAATGCTGTATATTTGCTCGTTTTTTCTTTATATAACTGCAGTCTGGCAAGTTATTTCGAACCATCGTTGAAGGACTTTGTTGTTAACCGCTAGGGTGGTTCACAACGTTGTATTTTAACAAGGCTGCATTTGCGTTATGCCTTGAGGTATTTAAGTAAATAAAATAAATAAAGGCGTTTCCAGTGATTGTCCGTGGCCATGTGTTCAAAATGAGTTGCAGCCATTGTGAGGCGCAACAATATTGCTTGCAACCTGCTAATTGCTGTTTGAGAGGAGTGCTAATGATAGGTCGGTTGCAGTAGATGCAGCTGTTCCTCACATTGACTGGATTTCCAGTTGCAGCGAATGCAAACAGGACTTGCTTTCAAGTAATAAAAGAAATGTTCCCAACTATTTTTTAGGCTTAGGATCGAAGACTGAACCTGTTGCATTGAAAATTAAAGGTTCAACTAGCGAGGATTTTGAGCCCAGGCTCTCAAAAATTTCAAAATTAACGAAATGCACGAAAAGGGGAGGGAGAGTAGAAAATGGAGGTATGCCTTGTTACTTGAAGCCAGAGCCAGAAACGGCAAAAATATTTATTGAATTAACTTTTAATGCCGTAACATTTAAAGGAGCCTTGAAGTGAATTCTGGGCTGGAACAAATGATTTTAGATTAAGATATTACTAATCACATGTCGTTTATTAAGTAAAAAAAAAAAAAAAAAATCTAGTACACGAGGGTAGAAAGCTAAAAACCTGCTTTTCGGTACGAAACTTTGAAAACGCAGTGGAAATACCGTTCTTTGCCTTCTTTTCTTCAAAAGCTCTCAGCCCGCCTTTTCGCTGTGATGCATTTGCGGTACAGAAGCACATCGGCAGAACCGATCCCACGTATTGGACACAAGCTTTCCGTCAGTAAAACGTATGGGCTCATCGACAATCGATCCGTCGACGAATATTTTTATTTGCATTCGTGGGCAACGAGTGCCGCGGCGGCACTTTTCATTGCTTGCCAACGAGTTCCATGGTGTCCTTAAAAAGCACAGTAGAAGCTAGGAGTCGTTGCATTCCAAAACCAACAGCTTCAAAGTTGACAACCTGACACTACTCTTTTTTTTTTACATCGATGAAAGCAAAATTAATCGGGCCGGCCAAGGCTGGAGGGCTTTCGCTGCAGCTCAACGTTTATCAATGATTGCATCAGATGCATGGAACGCTGACAACTAACCCCGCCAACTTTTGGACGGCTGGGAGAGCTTCCGGTTCCGGTGAAATACTGTCATGACCACGTGATTTCCTATTTCGCCTGCAACTTGAGGAGGAAAGCTAAGGAGGAAGAAGTTGAAAAATATTTTCATGGTTCCTTTGATGTTGCCAGTAGGACCGCCGGCTGCGAGGGGTTCCTTTTCATGTTCACTGAAACCAGCTCCAGCTACCTTAAAAGGAACACTGACAGTTCAAAATCTTTTTTTATTATTATTCGAAACAATAGAAAGCGATGCCTGGACATTACCATCAAAATTTGAAACTTGGGAACTTTGTATTTGTGAAGTAAAAATAACTATTTTCCAAAGCCAAATATGAAGTTCCTGCCTGTGCGCATCAGTGCAGCGACATCAAAGATTGAGTCTTCCAGCAACTCGAGTTTCTCTCCGGCCTGTGAACCATACCGACCCGAAATGTCAAGTTTGCCTGCGTCTCGCGATCAACTGCTCTTCTCCGTACGTGCCGCTTATCGCTGTGAGCAGACGACGCTTCATTTTCGAGTTTCAAGTTTTTTTAGGGCCCTTTCAGCATCTCAAATTCCTTGAAATGATTTAAGGTTAAAGAGAACACGCAGTGGACTTTTGCAAGCGAAGTGGGGGGCCACGTTGCACAGGTTCCACGTGAAAGGCTGACCCGGCAGATTCGCAGCCGAAACTACAGTAGACAGACACCAAACCCGGTTGTTTTGACCATTTCACGATTTTCTGTCAAAGTCTGAGAGGTCGTTGGGCACCTAAAAAAGAGAATTTCGTCCGATTCCTCGACTCGCCGATCATTCTCAGCGCTACACGTGCCGAGCGCCGCCATGTTTTCCTAGGGAGGATAGAAAAACCAGGGGGCAAGGCTTCCGACTTTCAGTATCTCAAAAAGAAGGGCTGTAGTGCATTCGCAATCGCATTAAAAAACATGTTTTACGAATGCCGTTATTAAATATTACAGAAATGTCGCTTACAAAATTTCTACATTTCATAATCGATTACGTCACAAATAACAAGAAGTGAGGAGGGCAAGAGGGAGAAGAGGGCTCCAAAAAGAAAAAGGCACGTGCATGCATGGGAAAATATTTTTTACATTGTGCTCTTTTTTTGCATATTAATGACTACAACTTGCATCGTTTTAGACAACAAAAAATACCTTTGGAATGTCTGTGCCCCTCTAATCTCACGTTTGGACTTCCTAACTACAGTAAAACCTCGTTATAACAAAGTTGAAAAAGCGGTCGTAATTATTTCTTTATAACCATTAGTTTGTTATAGCCAATGTCCATTTCTTTCCACTATTAGCAAGCAAGGGGAATTATGATTGTTTTGTTATATCCATTAGTTTGTTATATCCTATTTTGTTATAACGAGGTTTTACTGCACATGCTGCATTCCCAAGCTAAAAGCCTCTATGTTTCGTGGCACCGTTTAATTTTCCATAAATTTGAGCACGTCGAGCAATGTCATAAGCTGTCATATGTTGCAGCGTTCGTCGTCTTTCTGGAGTGTCCTATCACCGGCCAGGCCAGTAGAGTGTAGTGCGTTTGCCGTGACTTTGCACTTTTTAGTCTGTGTTTGTACATCTCCTAGCCACTGGCTGCGCTCACACCTGTGGCAATTGCCGTCATTTTTAGTGTTGATGAAATGCGGAAGCGTGGTTAATGGCTCCGTCTACAACAGAACTTGGGTAAGTACGACCGGGAACGCAGTTGTGCCGTCTAAACCGTGCCTACTCTGCTTTTTCTTTTTTTTTGAGTTGCTTTGGTGGCATTGATTGGGGCCATTTTGGCTGACCCCTCGACCGCCGGCTTGTTTCAAGTCCAAACAAAGACCAGTAGGCATAAAAATCGAGTAACGGCCGATGTTCCTTTATGTTCCCAACTACACTGTCTGCCGCTGTCGATCACCACACGAAAGAACTCGAGCGACCTGAAAAGTTCCAGCACCGCACATAGACTGGGCGGAAGTTTAGCAACATGGCGTCGGTGCAAGTTTGAACCGGAAGTATGTTGCGTGAAACCGTCCCACAGTGCCAGAGAGAAAAGAAAAAAAGTATTTTATCACTCCTCCTCAAAATTCGGAATGTTCCCACCGTGTCAGAAACGGCAATGTGCATCACTCCAAGCTGACCTCCAAAATAAATATGAAAAAATATAATTTTATTTTTGTTGACCTAGCCGGCAGTCAAAGATCCTAGTTCTTCCACTTCACCACCTGTTCAACGGCAAAAAAAAAAGTTGACATTAGAACAAGTTTTGATATGCGGCACTCCCGGTTCGACGGATGTCACTCACCGAGTTGTTCAAGACGTGCTGCACCTCGACGAAAGGGGCGCTCTGTGGCGTCAAGTCGTCCCTGTATCTGATCAGTCTCTGTCTGTCTCGAAGCGACACGAGCGTCTGCAACGGTAAGAAGCAAAAAGATGACAGAGCTGGCTATTCAAACTTTACCCTTAGGGGGGAGCTCTGGCAAACGTTTGAGAGTTGCTGATTTGCCTCAAAATTGGTTCACCACATTAAGAGGGACATCTGAACTACTAACCCAAATTACAGTTCAAAAGAATATTTATTTTTTTTCGTGAAGTTATGGAATTTTTTTAATTTTTTGGTCCGAGAGGTTGTACTGGCAACGCTGAAAACGTGACGTCCGATCTTGTAATAGCATGGGGGCAGTACAACGTTGGGCAGTACGGCGTGTTCCCGACTGGTTACGAGAAGTTTGATCGTATGAAACAAGTGCTGGGAGAGCTCGGAGTGCCATCGAAATAGAGGGAAAAGGCACAAAATACTCTGTTTTTTAGACTGCCTGCAAGACTAGCAAGTTACGCAACATGTGACGTCGCCTTGCCGGAGAGGGCGGGAAAATGCGAACGTTGGTTTTAGCACAATCTTCGATTTGCCATTTTCTCAATGGCTATTTGGAATTTAGGAATACTTAAATATGCTGGGCACTCCAAAAATGTATTCAATGCGAGTAGCAAAAAAAAAAATGCCGGAGCTTCCCTTCTATGGCAAGTAATGGGTTTAGTAGCACGGTACTACTACTGCGTGCCATCAAACAAGCAGCTCTGAAGTGAGGACGACTGGCGTGAAAGCCACAAAGTGCTTACGGTCAGGCATTTGTTTCCGGTCACTGAAAGCATCAACGGACGTGTTTAGAAGCACCAAACTTTCTCGGGCAAGTCTCCGCGCCGCAGCGAGACAAGGAGTTCGAACCAAGTCCGAAAGGTAGAGCAACTGGTACTTGTACGGCATCCGAAATTCCGCTCGCTGCCATGCACTAGCTCTACGAGCCGAGTGTCTGCAGCACAAAAGTGTTGGGATAATTGAGCACGTCTAACATTTTGATTGGCAACTGTAATGTAATGCCGATTATTTCACGCTTACTCGGTTACATCTTACGATGGCCGGCAGAGGATCCAAGCCGTCGAAGCCAATACAAATAAGTGTGAATGTCCCGTGACAGTCCGGAGAGGCGCAGCAACGTGCGACGCACTTAGTCGTGTCGTACGTTTGCAGTACTAGGTTGGCCGGGATTGCTTGTGGCATCCGCTGGAGTCCACCGCAAGGTGATGTGTAGGGTAGACATAACAGATGCGCTGGTTCCGTTAATAAATAGAAAAAGCCTCCGCGTCGAACATTCCGCCCAGAGCAAACGAGTGCCCGCATCTTGTGCCGAGTTCTACGGGCAGATACTCACATCAATGGCCACCCTGTGGCACTTGTACTGCGTCGCCAGAGACAGCCGCCTGTCCGTGTCGTCCACCAACTGCAGATATCGCTCGAACACCTCGAAGAAGGAAATGCAGAGCCGTTGAAATGCACCACTAACCCGATAGTTAGACAATGCAGTTGGTGTCTAGGGCTGTGAGGGGGCCGGGGGAAGTTAAAATTTTGAATATTGAAGTAATCAAGTCACCAATCAAGGAAAGTAGTAGACAGCAGTAGTCTAATGGCTGCATCTTTTCGGTTGGCATTGACATTCTATTGATAAACAGCTAACAGAATATTAGTGCATTCTGACTCGTTTCTTTAGGAGACGGTAAAATGATGCATGAAGCTTATTTCTTCCGAGAACCAACATATTCGGCTGCTTTTAATGATGTCAAACAAGTTCCTAATTTAAGCTATGTCTTCGCTTTCGATAATTAGGGGTATAGGCGTCCGAGAATGCACTGCTACGCGGAGCACGTGAAGTGAAATCTTGCACTGCAGAACCCAGGTATCTTGGGTCTAATCCCCACCACTGCCCATTTTCATCTGGTCTGGATGAGCATCGTACCGGCGTGCAGTCGTGTGTCGCTAGAGCACCCCAGGCTAGCACTCGCTAAATTTCTCGTCTACAGCAGAGACCTCGGATGCCCATTGGGGCTAACTGGCTTCCTGCTGCCTAAACATGCACAAAACAGAATTACTTTGTTTGATAAGTAGAGTTAATTGAACACTTAATTATCCCAAACACTATGCACCTCCTAATAAACCTGACAAGAACCAATGTCAGATTAGTATATATGTTTTGGCGGCGGGGGGACAGTCAACATAATAGTGTTGTCTCGTTCATATGGGCACCCCCATTCCAGCCAAAAAGTGTCCATGAGGCGATTTCTCCATAATAATGAGGCCAAAATGCATGTATTTAAACAGTTCATCCCCTAAAAAGGTTCTTTGTATAGTGCGATACCCATATGATTGGTGTCCATGTCAATGAGGAATGACCAATTGTTTGAGCACTGCCCAACAAGATTTACTAGAGCCCAAGATCACGGATGTGACCTGCAGGCCCTACGTTGCCGACCCCAGTCCAGGAACGTTGGAAAGCAGCGGGTGATCATACCTCGGGTGGAGCCTGCGCTTTGGCAAGGACCTCGACAGCCTTGTCAAATCCAATGCAGCAGCGCATCTTCGATTTTCCCAGCCACGACTGCAAAAAAAATAGATTCCTTCGGTTCATTTGCGCACTTTCGTAAGAAACGCGTCGTAATGTTCCATCCATCATACACTCAAAGCCAAACTCCTCTTTTAATTTTTTTTTTATTATTTTGCAGTAATCAGAAATTGAAAGATTTGGGAGAAGTTCCAGATAGCCTTTGACCTACCTCAGAGAGGTTCAGAGACCTCGGTTGGGTAAATTCTCGTTCGCGCATTTGCGCTCGAGCGTGATAGTCCATGTTGTAATTGTAAAGGCCCGTTCACACTCTTGCGACCGAGTACGACTGAGAGAGACGAAACTTCTTAAATGTTTTTAGAATGAGGGAACACACTGGCATTGTGGCGCCATCTATGCGGTGACCCTGGAACTGCATTTCACAAGATCGACGGTTTTGCGGAATTTCCGAGGTCAAATGTGCGTAATACCCATAGAAAGGCTCGTTTATAACATTGACAAAAGTTTTTCGAGCCAAGAAAGACAGGGTAATGCGCGAGAAATAAAAAAAATATGCCGAACCGCCGAGTTTACAGTGCTTCCCAATAGATGGCGCCAGTGTGTTCCTGGTTTAAGAAGTTTTAAGGAACCCAGGTTTAAGAGGTCGCAAGAGTGTGAACGGGCCTTTAGAGGACGTGTATTACAGTGTCCAACTGCTTGAACGGAGTCGCATGGTTTATGGGCCATGTTTGCAATACAAGCTGCGAGGAGGTGATGAACACGCTGATCGTCGGCGAGCCGCTCTGCCTCTCTTTCCTAGCTCTCCTCCTCGCCATGTGCAATGTAGCGTGTGCGAACTTGTGACCAATTGGCACGGGAGGCGTCTGCCAGTGAATTGCAAATGCTCCCCGTGGTTTCTAAAGGACCCTCTCCACGATCTAGGCTCTTTAGCAATTGCTTGTGACTGCTGGTGCAATCTGTTGGGTGGCCCCCGCTACAGTGGTGTCCTACAAAGGGTGGCCCAAGAACGCCTCCTCTGATCCGGTTATACTTTACACATTGTGCTTTTACCGTGCGCCTTAGGTAATTCTGACAATGTTGAGAGCAAAGTAACGCAATTTCAAGGGTCTTTTTTTTTTTTTTTTTTTTTTTACTTTAAATTTGGGGGCGTTTTTTCGAGTTTGTTTTCTCCCACAGAATCAATCTTTTTTTTTTTTTTTTTCGGTATCAATTTTTTATATTCAAAATTCAGAGTTTACTGAGGCTTATGTCGCAAGAAATGAGACTCGGGTATGGAATTTCCCAACTTCCGGGGAACATGGAGGAGACCCGAATGCTTGGAAAAAATTCCCGCATCTATAAGAACAAATCGGATAAAGATGTGTGGCTCCGAAGAAAGAATTGCCTCGCAGACATTTCTAGAAGCTAGACGATAGTTAAATTACCGCGAAGCTCGTGTTTTCTTTTACTTAAGGACATCCCCGATTCGGGGTTTTTCAGTTTTTTCCCGATTTTGACAAAAGAAAACGGCTCTGGAGTTGATTACGAGGTTTATCGGTATTCACGAAAAACACAAAATCCTAGTCATTAGCGACCGTTTCTCGTAGAGGTTACATAGATTTCATCTCGCAAATGCTACAAATCTTTCAGTCTACACTTGTCATTGTCATGTCGAGAAAAAAAGGACGTTCTGCGCATTGTTTGTGCGCTGCGCAAAGTAGTTCTCACGAGATTTGGTTGTCGAAAGAACAAACGATGCCCTTCGCATTCGAAACGTGTACGCCTTGGTCGAATAACATAAAGCTAATCTAAGGTGCACCTACATATGTCTTAATTGAACATCTGGAGGGGAAAATTAGCAACGCCCCACAAGGAGCCGGACTTTTTCTTTTATTTTTACTGACGGTTCTCGAGCCAAATACAAGCACGGTTATGCGCACGTCGGAAGTATTTCTAAGGCGACGTCACAAATGCCACTAGCGTGTTTTCTCATCGTAAGCAGTCCCAAGCGGTCACAACACACTCGCTCCCACTCAAACGCAAACGTGTCAACCAGCCTCTGGACCTAGACGTCCGGCGTTGCGCGTAGTTGAGTGGCACCTACCTTGCCCTGAAAGAGGTTGTCGACCTCTTTCCAGTGCTTGATCTGGGCCAGGGCGGAGAGCGCAGTCCATGTGAACTGCTTTTCCGTGAGCTGCAAGTGAACAGTTACAGGGTTGCAAGAACGTGGCTGTGGTCAACGACAGGACAAGAGTGGCAGGGAGCCCCTTTTGGGTACCCAGCATCCAGAACGAGCCCATTGCCTTCCGTTGTGTAAGGGCTGCATGTACACGTGCAAAGCCCTGAAAGGGGTGCTGAAGTGCTTTCTGACATCCTTTTTCTATTGTTATAGGTCATTCTATGAGCTCTAAGCATCCTAAAAAACCCGAAATTACATTCATGCTTGGACGATTTGCATGTTAAAAAAATTATCAACAATGGCAACACTTACCGATGGCGCAAAAAGACGGGCAGCGCTTCCAAAATTTGCCGAATATGTATAGTCGAATGACGGACGATGCTTGTCAGCCACTCGCAAGCGATGGGTTCCCACTTCGACGAGCGGGACTGAACGGCTGGTCGTTCACACGGGAAGCCATCGCTTGCGAGTGGCTGGCAAGCGTCGTCCATCGTTCGACCATATCCTGCAAGGTTTGGTAGTGCCGTCTGTCGTTCTGCACCATCGGTAAGTGTTGCCATTGTTGATCACTTTCTTAATATGCAAATTGGTCGCACATGAATGTAATTTCGAGTTTTGTAGCGTGCTTAGAGCTCATAGAATGAGTTATGACAATAGAACAAGGATCTCAAAAAGCACTTTAGTGCCCCTTTAAAAGCACTGAAGTGTTGCTGAAGGTAGGACGCTCATCCTGGAGCACGGCGTAAGATATACAGGGTGACCCGGACAACTTGCACCAAACTTTGAAAAGGAACGGAGTGCCCTGACTGTATGCTGTTAGGCCCACTTCAGACGGGGCAACTTTCTCAGCAATTTTGGGGTTGCTGCCGGGTTTTTTCCTAGCTTTCCCTAGATCGACACAAATTGCCGAGATCGGATCAGGCTCGAAACAAGTAAGCAACTCTGAGTAACTCGAACACGTTTGAGGCGGCAGGAGCCAATCAGGGACGCAATATTTTCACATGATGCCCTTTGCCGGTGATGATGACAACTAAAGACTTGGTTGTCGCCGCTGTGACGCCGCCAGGATATCGCGACCGGCGACAGCACGACATTACTACGGCATCACTGGGCAGAAATCGAGGGACCGCTCTTTAGGACATGGAAAACACGCCAGTCCGAGACGCATTCCAGGCACCATAGTGTTGGCCCCGTAATCGCCACTTACATTGAACAGTGCCTTCATCTGGCTTGGATTGGATATGTTGCTCTGGAAAAAAAAAACAATTAGTAAGATATGATTACGGAGAAAAACAATCGGACAGCATATAGAGTTTCAGGAAACTGAACACAAAATAACCTGAAACAACAAGGGAAAAATCCACGAGCGTGAAAGGCATACCTCGGCAAATTCATTCATGAACTCGCTCATTCACCTTCACTCACATTCACGGCGTGAATCTGAATGGCTGTGAATGAATTCGTGAATTTGGAAAAAATCATGATGTGATGGTGAATGACTTTGTGAATTTGAATGAATTCGTGATGTGATGGTGAATGACTTCGTGAATTTGAATGAATTCGTAATGTGATGGTGAATGAATTCGTGAATTTGAATGAATTCGTGATGTGATGGTGAATGAAGTCGTGAAGTCGTGATGTGATGGTAAGTGACCGTGAATTTGAATGAATTCGTGATGTGATGGTGAATGACTTTGTGAATTTGAATGAATTCGGGATGTGATGTTGAATGACTTCGTGAATTTGAATGAACTCATGATGTGTTGTGATTGTGAAGGACTTTGTGAACTGAATAGAATTCATTGTGATGTGAATGACTCAATAAATTCATGACGTGATGGTGAATGGCATTTTGAACACGATGAAATTGTGATGTGCGTGGCTCGTGAACTTAATACGTTCGTGATGGAAAGTAAAACCGTGAACTTAATTCTCGACGTGATTGTGAATACTGTTATGAATTCAGAATAGGCGGAAAACAGGTTACGCAGGTGCTTGCTTGCTTGCTGGTTTTTTTCATCCTTCACCGCGAACTGCAGGAACCCATTTGACATTAGCGGTTTGGGCATCAGTCTCGCTGTGTAGCCGTGCGCGCCTCAGCGCGGTGGCCCTTTGTCGAGCACTTTCGTAGTAACAGCTGTTTATAAAGGAAGTGCGGTGGCACTGGCAATGGAAGGGGGGGGGGGGGGGGGGGATAGACGTTTTCTTTCGCACTTGACATTTAATTTTTCCGTTGTTCTGAGCGGTTCCTTGTGAATCAATTGAGTTCCTTGCCGACCTTGTCCTTCCGTGTGTCGGGGCATATGGTCCGGAATCCCTAAAGGCTCTCGCTGTGCTGTTTCGCTCGTGGGTCGTGCGTGGCGCAGCCGCGCTGTCCGCAAGCACTAGAAGCAGCAGGCGCCACTTCGTCTATGCGGCGCAGCCAAATATCGTTTCAAAAGAGACGAAGCCGACTTCACGAGCAGGCGCACGTAATCCAGCGCCGAGACCTTATCACGTGACCTGCCTGTTCCACGCAGCGGCGAACAGAGCACATTCACGTGACACGATCGCAGCGCGGCATTGGCTGGGTTGGCGCTCTATCAATGTGGTTTGTCTTTCGCGCACTCGAGATACTGCACTTCCCCGGCGGAGTCAGGTCCTGGTTTCAAGCGGCTGACACAGAAAGACGCCACAGTCCTATTCCGCAAGAACTGCGAACTCGTGAAGGGCTACCAGCCGTGAAGTCGAATTTAACCAGAACGAACCTGAATGACTTCGTGAATAATGTGGAATTCATGATGTTATAGTGGATTCCGGTGAATTCGTGTTGACCGTGATGGTGAATAACTTCCTGAAGTGATGGTGAATTCGGATGAATTCATGATGTGATGGTGAATTCGGATGAATTTGTGATGTGATGGTGAATTCAGATGAATTCATGATGTGATGGTGAATTCGGATGAATTCGTGAAGTGATGGTGAGTTCAGATGAATTCGTGAAGTGATAATGAATTCCGATGAATTCACGATGGTGAATTCCGATGAATTCGTGGTGATGGTGAATGACTTCGGGAATTGGTGATGTGATGGTGAAGGACGCCATGAATTCGGAGGCGGCAGTGATGTGATGGGGATGAATTCTTGGCGCGGTCGAACGCCGTGATGTGAAGGGGATGAATTCTCGGCGGAGTTTGAAAGCCGTGATGTGAAGGGGATGAAGTTTTGGCGCGGTTGAACGCCGGGATGTGAAGGGCCGTGACTTTAGGAGGTCGGAGTAGCTTGTGACGTGAATGTGAATGAATTTGGGGACGTGATTTTGTTTGTGATGTGATGGTGAATGAAGGGGCTCTAAAATGCCGACCTATGGTGAAAGGTGAGACAAAATACTTGACTCGCATAATATGCGCCTTCCTATAATTTACACACCCTTAACTTAATAAACAGACACGAAAGTGCTTTTCGAGATCCTCGTTCCATGGTCGTAACTCAATCTACGAGCTCTTTTCATGCACGGTCGATTTGCATATTAAAAAGTGACCAAAGTTCCCTACCTTTACCGTCGGCACAAAACGACAGATGGTGCTGCCGAGCCTCGCTGAACATAGTTGAACGACGGTCAGCACTTGTCAGCCACTCACAAGCGATGGGTTCTCGCGTGGACGAGCGGCCAACCAATGCCGCTCGTTCACACGGGAACCTATCGCTCGAGAGTGGCTAACAGTTGCCCTCCGTCGTTCCACCACATTCAGCGAGGTTCGGTAGCACTATCTGTCGTTCTGCACCGACGATAAGTGTCGGGAACTTTGATCGCTTTCTTTAATGCGCAAATCGGCCGAGCATGAATGTAATTTCGGTCTTTTTAGGATACCTAGAGCTCGTAGACTGAATAACGGCCATAAAACGAGGATCTCAAAACGCACTTTAGTGCCCCCCTAAGGCCCGGATTTCTAAAAAAAAATATTCCTCGCACATTTTGTGCACCGTGCACTGTTCTGCGCAGGCCCGCCAGCCTTGAGTCTCCGTGCGCGAGATAAGCTTGGGAAGAAAGCTGGCGTGGCCACAAAAGGAGTGAGGACAATGCAATCGACAAGTCATGCGAAAGGCGGGATGTGCGCTCGTATGCACACGTCAATGTTAAAGATTTTGCCGAAAAAAAAAAAAAAAGCAAACGAAATACGTTGCTCATTACTTGAAAATAAAAGAAACATGTTGCTGGCCTACATTACCTCACAATAAAGGGAATATGCTTTACCGTTACCAATCAAAAGTAATGCACAATGCTTTTGCATTTCTTTTTAATCATGATTTGGAACATTCTACTGTTTAGATGCCAGAGGTGTGCCCAAGCACCACATTTCAAGGAACATTACATGCATGCAGAAATTTAATGCAATTACCTTTTGGCAAAAGTGCCACATTACAAGGATCAACATAAAGTAACAGACACAGCACAAGCACTCACTATTGATTTATGTCCCTGTCTTGTGGCGCATTTGTCAAAAGGAACTATGTACCAACTAGCCCATCTCTCACTACGTATTAACACGACTACCCTATCTTTTTTTGCCTCCAACTAAGCACTCACCAGGAAATACACAAAGAAAAACGCGAAGAATGCAGAAATTCGAATAATGTGGCACCTAAAAAACACACAAAAAGTTGTATAATCTTTTTCCTTGTTTCGGGAAGATGCATTGACTAATGTAACTATGTTACCCGTTACTCTAAATAAGTAATGTAAATATGTCATCTGACACCGTTTTGAAAATGTAATGAGTATTTGACTATGTTAGCCAAAAAAAGTAATGCGGTAATGTTAGCAGCGTTACGCTGCTAACATTACCACCAACACTGGCATGCACGTGCACATCCCATCTTTCTATTTACGTCACGAGGCTCATGTTGACGAGACGTAAACAATGCAGTAACATCTTGGGGCGAGGGGGAGGGGGAGAGGAATCTTTATTTTAATACATAGGTGACCTATCTAGGTGCTTTCAAAACTACACAGGCTCAATCGTGCCACCAAAGAACAAGGATCACGGAATCTGTCCAGCACAAACCGCACAGATTAGAGCTTGTCCGAGCCAAGCGGGCCTAGCACAAACTGCATACGGGGTGTGTGCTTTGTGCAAGGTCAAGGCACTGGTGCAAACCCTCCACAAACACCTTCTTTTAGGTGAGCGAGCGCGTGGTCCCGCACGACGCCACTCTCTCCGACACAGCCACAATCAGCTCTGTTTCTAATTCTTGACGCAGCTGTACTATGCGTCTCAGTGACTATAGCATCCAACTGCCACTGCGCAGTTCCAGACTCGAGTCCGCTGGGGCATCCTACTTACGTTGATTTTAAATGGGCTCTATGGGCTTTTAAACTTTATATTGTATCTTACGGACCATGCGGAGAGCGAGTTGTCCGCTTCCTGCTCAGAAGCTGCGGTGACGTCAGAACGATGCCGAGCTCCAGTTGTCTTTGATTGAAAGGACAGTGGGTAGAACTCAATACTAGATGCCTCGAAGTCTACCCACTATTTGTTTTTCAATCAGCCAATAAGAGATCGGCAATGGGCGCGTTCAGTAGCGGCCCCGGAGTCAAGGAGTCACCGACTCCTTCCACTGGACGGCCAAAAGTCACTTCCGGTGCACGTAACTCCGGGGCTTCAGAGTCAAGCTCCGAAGCACCGAGTCCGGAGACGGTGCACGTAGAGTCAAAGGAGCTAAAATGACGTCATTTCCTGACTGGTGACGATTTCCGGCGTTAAAAGAGGAAAAAACAAACAATATGGCGGAATAAGCTGCTTCGGTTCTGTCGCGGGTGCGCGGTTTGCTCGCTTTTGTTAATGAAAAGTGCTCAAGGTAAGACGAATAACGCGTTCGATTATCTTTTTCAGGTAAGGCTCTTTCGGAAAATGCATTGGACCGTATCTTGTTTGGTTTGAATGTTCTAATAAACAACGCAAACGTTCATTTGACGCCGTGTCTTGATCACCGTTGCACAGAAACTCGGTATGACGATAGTCCTGTCCGCGCTCAACAGAGCAAAACAGGGTATAAACGCGACTTTGGAAGCCGGTTGGACACTCACGCAGAGCATGATACCGATTAATGTTTTGTTTGCGTAGCTAAATCGGGGTGCACGTTGACTGAGGCTCGCTTCGGCCGACAAAACCTTGATCGCCGAGCGCGGCCGAACTTCCCATGTGTATACGAATACATTTTATAGGAAGTTCATTACGAAGGGCAGAACAAACTTATGGCCGTATAAAAGTATCGCAACCGGCGGGGTAGATTCGCTGAGCTCTGTATTTTGCGTGTACTGACGACGATTTTTGTCGGCTTTTATAACAGTAGTTGCCTTTGCGCCGCCAAGCGAAGGGCTCGATCGCGTTGCATCGCTTCGAACAGCAGCGCTGATGTGTACAATCAACCGCTTTTTCTTCAACGACCTTGTCAAGACTTCTTCAATACCGGCGTCAAATAAAAGCGATCGTGCTTGCCATCGTCTGCTTCCAGTTTATTCGGAGACCGTCTGGCACAGGGGAGGAAGCGGAAGTTGCGTAGAAGCAGGTTTGGAGCCGCGGGTTTTTTTTGCCGTTCAGTAGGCGCTCCGATGACTCCGACTCGAGGCACTCCGTTCGGAGGCAAGGGAGGCGCTACTGAACGCGCCCATTCCGACATCATCGCAGCCCCTGTGCAAGAAGCAGACAAACTTGCGCTTTGCATAGTCCAGAAGATACGGTATAATGCAGTATAAGGTTTTAAGTCGTCACCCAGAGAATAGCCTGCACATAAAAATTTTCGCCTGCGCACTACACCATCACAAATGCCTGCCTTATTAACTCACAAAGAAACTTGTCTCCTAAATTATTGTTAATATGCACTCCGTCACTCACAAAATATGTCACGTCTTGTCGCGATGAACGATCCAGAAAAAACAAACCCTCGTAAAGTCCGCACTTGTAGATAATCTACACCACGTAAAACTTCAACTTCTACACCTGTGTAGTCTACCAACTCTGGTCTGGAAGATATGGTGTATAAAGGCCCATTTACACAGGCACATTTGCTTACGTTTTCTCACGTTACATTACGACTCACTAAAACACCCGTGATTCGTATGCCGCATGCTAAGCTACTCCTTCAATTGGTTACCATGCTTCATGCGAAGCACGGATGTCCAGGTGACTCTCAACGTCAGCAGACGTAAGCTTCCATACCGTAACATGACATAAGAAACCGGGATTCAGTGAACTACTTTTATGGTTGGTTCCCACAGGGGCCTTTGCTTACGATGTTTTACGTTACATGAGGAGTCACCGGAACATTCGTGTTTCGTACATCGCGCACAAAGCTGCTCCTCGAACCAGTCGCCACGCTCGATTCGAAGCACGGATGTCCTGGTGACTCGCGAAGTAGGCAGCCGTAACGCAACATGGAAAAACGCCCCTGTGTGAACTGACCTTTAACCTTAAACTTCAATAACGGTCCCATCCTTTTGTATCGTTCCCGACGATTCTCCATGACAGTTTTTTCAAAACAATTAGACTGACAAAAATCGGGTTCTGCGTTAGATTGGAAGGGTCCGGACCTTCCCCCTTTACTCACAGTTGCCGTGTTGTAGTGGTACATGCAGCAGTAGTAGAGTGTAGACACCAGGGGCGTCCCCACGACCGAGGCTTTGCGGGGAAACTCCCGCATGAGCAGGTTCTGCCCCTCCTTCTCCACCCTCGCGTCTTCTTCCTGGGCACAGTTGCAGGCCGTGAAACAGTTTTCTGTCACTTTCGCAGCATGTACAGGCTTTTCTCTAGATGATCCCCTGGATTATCTTTCGGCACCGAATAGACTCCTTGTACCGGGTAATCAACTCAAAAGTCTCTGCACCAGGTAATTCTACTGGATCACGGGTTCTCAAACTGGGCTTCTGGGGCCCAGGGGTTACCCAACCACCCCAATTTCCTCAACCGCAGCAGTTTTATTGTTGCTCTTTTTAGTTCAAGAATTATTTTAGCATCTCTGAACCCCCTCATGCACAACTGTAGTCCAAACAAAGCATCGCCTCTGGAGACCATCCAGTGGTCATCCTTCCTGGTAGTACTGGATAACCGGCTGAATAAACTCCCTGTACTGGATAACCGTCCCAGTCATCTCTTTATGCTGGGTAATCCCCTGGATAACCTCTTGCTAATGAATAACTTGCTAGATGATCCCTCTGCACTAGATAATCAGCTTCGTAATCTCTTTGCACTGAGCTCTGTACTGGATAATCTCTCCATAATGGATGATCTCTTTGCAGTGGGCAATCTTTTGGTATTTGATAACCCACTGGATAACCTCTTTGTGTGGGCTAATCGACTTGATAATCCCTTTGCACTGGCCAATCCACTGGATAACCTCTTGATACAGGATAATTCAATTAATAATCTTTTGACTCTGGTTGATGCCTGCCGACATTCCCAGGAGGAAGAACAAAACATAATTAAATGTACATCAGACCTGTCATGAGGACATCATAATTTGTACTTGCAGATTTGAGGAACTTCTTGAATGTAGCCCTTGGATTAAATGCAAAGCCACACAAAACATAATCTTCTCTCCCAAAAGATTACATATTAGATCTGATGTCCGAAACATAAAAGGATATAAAATTTTACTGCAACAAATAGTGGCCTTACCTCAATAGCAAGTTGCATCTCGAGTAGTTTGATCTCATCTTTTATAAGCTCCGCTTGAAAGCTCAACAATGGATCTGACTGAAAATGAGATCTGGAAACACAACATATTTTCAAGACCAATATTACAATGTGGCGACTCTTTGAAACGATGTCAATATGGGCAAGCATAAGTTTCATATCATAGCTTGCCCAGCACAGTTTTCTAATTTTTTCTTTAAACTATAAAACAGCTATGCATGCCCGCCCAAGCACTGTACACCAAATGTTGATGCAAAATATACCTGCTGAGGTATAAAGTATCCTAACCAAAGAAAAGTCTTGTCTGACTAAACTTGAACAGTTTCTCAAATTTGAGTCTCTGATTTGCTGACCAGGCAAATCTCTGCTGAATAAGGTTATGTTTGAAAAATACTCTAAAAAATATGGCAGCTTTTATACAGATCATGTTAAGGTTGCGAACTGTAAAGCTACCTTCTTTTACAAACAATAAAAAAGGTTACCGAATAGTTTGCCCGCAGGCAAGCTGTTGAAAGTTTACCGTGATGCAAATGACCTCTGACAAGGGTAAAATATATTAAAGGAAGCAAAAAAAACAAGTTGCCTTCATTGTCCTAGCCTTGGGCTGATTTAAATCATGCTGACAAGATATTATACCTTACAGTTTGTAAAGAGGAGCACCTCCTTACAAACTGTGAAGTGCACGAATCGGAACTCAATATTGTCACTTTGTGCACAAAATGAAAAAAAATATTGTGGGTTCAAGGAGAGCACAGACGTACTTCAGGCACGACTGGAGATTCCTAAGTCTTGCGGCCGCTTCAGGTATCTCCGTGGCAAGTTTGTATTTCACCATCTACAGAAGAACGTTCTTTGTTAGCCTTACTACCGAAAGCAGTATGTTCGCCACACTAAAGTCTTTTCTAACACGAGACGTGTCATACCGCTGGCACCTAACCATTTCTGGTTTTGTACTCCAAACACAGAAGAAAGCGCGAGTGCCAGCCGAATGCTAACGCACCGCTCGTCTCCTCACTGATTGGCCACAAGTGCCAGCCAAATGTCTAGCTCGAGTAAATCCAAGTTACACCCGCCGATCACATCACGTGATCAAACATAGAGCGACACCAGCCACGCACCATTCTCCTAACACGCACTAAACAAGCAAGCACTGGACTTTCGGCATTGCTGCCTAGTGCATGCTCTTTTTAATCTTAGTTTTACTTTTTATTTTGCTGCACTTTCTAGATAGGGCCATTCACAAAGAAGTCACGGCATGGCGCAACTCTTTCATTTTTTCTATTCCAGCATGTCTCATTCCTGAATTTTTGGTGCTGAAGTTGCCGCGATGCTAGAGATGACGGAGCTGCGATAGCATCTAGCTTGAGGCGGAACGTTCTGTGTTACCACCGCCATTGCCACAATAGCGGGAAAAAAAACATTTCACAACAAACATTATTTCTAAGAAAAGCATCTGTAATAACAATATGAATGTTGTTGTTTTTTGTTTTTCTCAAATTAAATTAACATTCACAAAGAATTGTGTTTGAAACAACATTCACAAAGAATTGTGTACGAAAGAGTTACACGGAAAACAGTGTAACTCTATTGCAAATACAGTCACGCTGTTTGTAATAGTTACACAAATAGATTTGCAAGAACTGAAAGAAGTGAGGTGAACTATACCTCTCAAAACAATGAAAAGTCACGGTCAATCCATGAAATGTTCTCCTAAGCAGCTGCTTCAAAAGGGCACTTGTTTGTTATCTCGTGTACAATCCCAAAGATACTCCGCGTGCAAAGAACCAGTTAAAACTGGGTTTCAAGAGGATTAACAAACAATCCCTCAACTATCTCGTGCCACCCAACAAGCAGCCACTATGAAGTAGCTGTCTCCATCCACGAATGGAATGTCTCATTACCTCTGCTGTCTTTTCCACCTTAAGCTAACAGCAAGGATACCCAATAAAGCCATCTTACAAAAAACAAGAAAGAAAATAAATGAAAATTGGGAAAGAAACTTACAGCTGCATCTTCAGTTCTTCCAAGCATGCTGAAATGAACAAGGTGAAGCTTCTCAGCCCACTGTCACTCAAAGAAAGTGTAAAGTCGCAAACATTGTGCGGACGATCACGCGGCGTGATGCAAATGGACAGCGTCGGCCGTTGCGACATTGCGTCGTGCGATTCACTAGAAATCCCCGCGACATTGCCTTGCGCAGTGTTTGGCGTAAACCACAACCGATCACACACAGAACAGCTAGCATCAAACACATTCTCGCGGACGCGCTGCACAAATCACTCGGTCGCACCCAGCGCGTCCATTCTTCGCTCAGTGACATTCCTTTCTATGTGCTGCTTCACGTTCGTGCACAGCATAATCTTGATGTTGGATGGGTTCCACCCTAACAACCAGCGTGAGACCATCGGCACCTTGCTCCAGCGTATGCAGCCGCCACTTCCTCCAGCACATTTCGGCCGCCAGGCGACCGAAGGCGAGAAAGAGCAGGCGGGGAGGAGCGCGATCGCGTGACTCCCAGCACAATCGCATTTGGCTGAACGCGCTGCGCCTCAATTGCGACTATTATTGGCGAAAATTCGAGGGTATCACTGCAGTACTCGCCCTTTCCCAGCGCCAAAGCCCCAGCTGCAATAGACACGCACGTGCTTCGTTCTTTTTTGTCAACACGACGCTCGCCCGGCACGACAAACCCAGTACAGCTTGGTATTTTCCAAAGGTGTTCTAAATGCATGGCATTCGTTAGGCCTCTTCACACCGCTCCTTTTGTGCGCACAGTGAGGAGGCCATTGAAGAGCATGTTGCGAGGGTTTTGTGAATACAGAAAGCGGGCAGCACGTCGTGCGACACATTGTCACAATGACGTATCATGGTGTCACCTGACATCACGTGACCACGTCACATGACCCCATGACTTCACTGCATCACAAGACGTCACAACGTGACATGACGTTGCACTGTCGCGTGACATCATCTAGTCACGTAAAGTGACAAGACCCGTAAATTCCGCGTGTTCAGAGCGCCTTTGGGACGACGTCGTGGCGTCACATGACACCGCGACGCCATTGAGGCTACGTCCGAGCGAGAAAATTAAATCTCCAGGGGCTGGCCCCATAAATGCTATGCATTTAATACCGCCGGCACGAGCATCCCTCTCAGGGATGGCGCCTTGGACAGTCCGGAGGAAGGCTGCCCACCCGAGCACGTCCACGAGCTGCGTGTTGTCCTGGATGGAGCGCAGGTGGTTTACGTAGTGGGAGATGGCCTTGGGTCGCTGCATCAGCTCCTGGTTAAACAGCGAGGGCTTCAGGGTGCGTTTCAGGAACAGCACCACCTGCATGGACACCGCAAAGATCGCCCCGTGGTAAAAGCAGTATCACTATGGCAAGTGAAGCGTGTCTCTGACCAGTGTGTTTTCCGCATCCTCATCTGTGGTCCCTCGACTTCCACTTGATGAAGCCGTAAAAGTGTCGCATCATTGCCTGTCGTGATTCTGATGGCGAGACAGTAGCGGCGGTGAAAGCAGCGAACGCCAGTTCTGCCACAGGTCGCTCTCCAGGCAGAGTCATCAGTCATCATCATCATCTGACGAGACGGGACGCCGTGATGATGCCGACCCTTGTGACCACTCGATTTTTACGGCAACAACCGTTAGTGCCCCTTTCCGGCACAAAAATGGCAATGCTCGAACGCAAGGACCCAGATGATTGCAAGGAGATAGCGCTCTCCCCATCCCATCATTCCTCGCACAACCCTGTCGACTGCGGCGACGCGCTCTTTCACCCACCACACCCCCATTTGCACGGCGTTCGCATTTGGTTCTTTCTTCTTTTCGTGGACCGATCGCTCTTTCATTCGCTAGCTCATCTGTTCGCTCGCTGCACCTACTCGTTCGGCGGGCACGGACTCGGCGGTGGGTGGCGCGCACTTTAGGTGCCTTCGGCTGCTCCGCTTTGGAGGGCCGTGCGCTGGAAGGCTTCGCATGCGCAGCTGCGAGCAACGAGAAATAAGGCTCCGCGGGCGCGGTGCGGAAGGGCGGCTTCCAATGTACTTGGTTTGCTTACGGTGGTTATGGTCCTGTTGTTTTACGGCGGCAGTTGTTAGTGCCTCTTCCTGCGAAACTGGCAGCATTCGTACGCATAACCCCATGTGCTCGCAAGAGAGAATGACAGCACAGCTCCGCCATAAATTTCTCTCCATCGCCATTTCGCCTCATACAGCCACGTCATCTATAGATTTTGCTCCCCCTGTCTTACATTCTCGTAAATCGCATCCACAACTATTCTACTAAAAGCAAAGCCCATAAAGCAAACGTTTTCAAGCAGATCGATGCAACAATGCAGCGGCTGCCGCCATCAATCCCAGCACACTTTGTGTGGTTGTTTTTTCGTCTTCATTTCTACCGCCAGTGGCCCGGATTGCTGCGACATTTAATGGCGCAACACGGCGACTCGAGCGACGCAATTTGTTGAACCTTCGAGACTGCTTTCGACGTGTACGGGTGGGATGGGACCGTAAACACACCAGTCGAAGACTTGTTCCAGGCACCGCGGTACAGTAGCACCAGATTTACCTCGTATTACGGTTGTCCTTACATAACAGTACCACCGGAGTCACTAAATTTAGCTGAGTATTGGAACTCCATTTTTCGACTCTCTCGTAAGCACCGCCATTTTGGTACCTGGTGCAGAGCGAGTGCTATTGGCAATAGTTACGATTAGAAAATGCGACTTCCCGAATTTTTCGTCGCTGACTGTTCTAACTCCGTCGCTGACTGTTCTAACGTTACTGGAGAATGGGAAAGCGTTTTTCGTTATTTAAGATGAGACTCTGGATAACTGGCAGCAACAATTTAAAGCACCAAGACAGCCAAAGTGATGCTACTCTGCGGCGTAGATCATCACAGTGGCTCTGTGATAATCTACGCCGAGTCGTCGGAGATCGTCGTCATGGCCAACTACTATATAGGCGTCCCGGCGGAAAAACTCACAGCTGTGATGGCATTTCCATCCTGCAGACGAATCGCCTCGTTCAGCAGGGCAACCTTGCTCTCCTTCGATCGATGCTGCTCCAGGTAGTAGGGCTGCAAATATAACCGTTACACGGCGGCTGTTTCAATGAAGTTAGAAATCGAGATAGCACTGTGCCTTCAGGACCGAAAAAGTGCTCTCACGTCATATTCTCACTCTTACTCTCGCGAAGCTCTTCCGTTCAAAGTGTGCTACAGAAAGTTGCTAAGAGTAACTCATGTAACACATGCTTGGTTCAAAGCAGGCAACCCTTTCGCAGTTCATAGGAAACTTTTTTGCAATTTCTTCTTTATTCATTCGACATTTCGACCTTCAGATATTTCTGTATTGGAATGGACAGCCAACTGTCGTGCCCCTAGCAACTAACTTTAGAACTTCGCCCACAGAGATAACAATGATGTGGCAATATTTAGCCCTTCCTCGGGCTATGAAAGAACCTGAGGAGGAACCCTTTTGTAGCAGCTCTGGCCTGCGTGAACAATGCAGCATGCATTCCTGGACACACGCAACATGCATGTGTCCAGCACCTGCTCAGCTCAAAGACCCAAGTGGATCAAGGTCGTGCATCCTCCAACGACTGCTTTCGGGAGAGATTCGACCTGTCGCGTCCCGCCAACGTCACTCCGTTTATTGTTAATAAACAAAATTTCATTACACTGTGTCCCGCACCCTACCGGGGAAGATGACATGAAGAATCCAGTCCACAGGCCCTGGGTTGGGCAAACACCGAGCTCTATGGAAAAACAAGCTAGACAGACTGCCCCCTATAGTTCCATCTCCTTGCCAATAGGTTTCCTCACAGCTGTCTTAGACACTTTGAGTTTCGCCAAATATTGTAGTGTTGATGAGCCTCCTCGGCTTACCTGACCGACGATGATGTTTTTCACAGTTTCCTCGGGTGTGACGCTGGTGTCCCTTGAGTATTTTGTGGGAGCCTGCAAGTTTCAAGATCTCTGTGACACTGTGACAAATTCGTCGATGAGATCTGGATGCAAGTGTAGAGAACTAGGCCCTAGCAAGTTCTGGTTTATTTCGCTGCGAACGCTGTGACAGGACCAGCTGTTTAGATTTCATCTAGCACCTTTCCCGTCTACTCTCTCGTCTTTTTCTCTTATGAATTATTTTATATGAACCTAATTATGCACCAACTGGCCCAGCAACACTTTACTAAATTTTACCTTAAGAGCAAATTAAATAAAAGCCAATTAGAAGAAACTTTGTAAGCATAGTATTTCTTATATTTGCTACTTCTTAAAAAGAAAAAAGTATGATACCAATACAGAAATACTACTTGCAATTAAAAAATTAATGCAAACTATATTTTTTTTACACATGAGGCTATGAAGGCTTCACTTTTCAAATCAAATCACTTTATTTTTATTTGAATAAAATATATTCTTAGATGTAGTCATTTTTGAAGTACAGCATACAAACAAAACAATACACTAATTTATGTTTCTGAATGCAACAAACTAAAATTTTAAAAGCAGTGCTTCCTCTAACTCCCATCGGACGAGGGAGAGCTGTGTGCAAATTACTCCTCTGACGCCGGAAGTGACGTAGTCCCGTCGGAGGAGGGAGGCCCATGTGGAAAACACTCCTTCAACGCGAAAAGTGATGCAGAACCATCAGAGGAGAAATGGCCATGTCGAAATCACTCCTACCAGTTACAACTCTTTGCTTCAAGTTGATTCTCTGGCCAGTTAGGTCCCCATTGGTTCCCAACTGGAACCGGCTTATCCCAGTTGTAGCTTTAGACTCCAAGTGGACCCAATTAGAAATTTAACTGGCCTATCTGTTCAACCTTCCTGCAGCTGGGTTATGCGCACTTGCCGCTGTAAGTGAGAACCTTAATGTAACTCAACTGTTGGCCCGTTGAAAGCTACTTATTAGGTGCGATAATCAATGATTCGGGGCATATTTAAGGTCTTTACAACAGCGAACACCCATCTAAGTGTGCGGGCGCACTCGGCGTCACTATTGCCGGTCACGCTGGTGCAGGGAGCATAGACCATCATGCCATGTTCCGCTCGCGGGCAGTGGAATGAGGGCTACAGGCACAAGGTCAGCGTTTCTCTCGCAGGACGAGCGCCAGGGCTGGGAGAAGCGTGCAATGCGCAATGCAAGGAGTAGATAAGTAGCTAGGAGAAGCACGGAGCACGCATACACACGCAATGCACGTGCTAGCGCTATGCCAGCCACGCCCACAATAATAACGTCACGTGACACAAAGACAATAAAGATGTATTTATATATATTGATACTATTTTCATAGCTTGTACCTTTTGCTCGGCTGCTTTTAAACAGGTTGCAAATAAACAGATTTCGTGACAAAATGTTTAGTCAAATGACTTTTTACTGTAAAACTGTACATTCAAATCAGACGAGCTAATTTTTATTTATTTTTTTTAAGATACTGTATGTAATAATGATTTCTATTACCAGTTTATAATTAACAAGATGGCGCCACTTCCGTTACGTCACTTCTGTTACGTCACTTCCGGCGTCGAAAGAGTGGATTTTATGTAGGTGTCGTTTGTCCAATGGGAGTCAAAGGAAGTGCAGCCAATTATAAAAAGTGGTTTGTACAGACAGTATCTTATAACTTTTTTTTTTTTTCAATTTTGGAATTTGTATATATTACTTTTATTTGCCCTTTTCACATTCTCCTTTTTTTTCTTTTCTTTTTTTTTCTTGTGGGAAGCAAAGGGGGAGGGGGGATGAAATGAGTTTTTATACAAAATTTACGCCCCAACCCAGCTCAATATCATTCAATTATAAAAAAAAAAAAAAAAATTTCTGAATACAAACAAATTATGGACTTCCTCGAGCCTAATTTTTAAAGCTATTAGAGAATAAAAAGAATGAATCTATATATATTTTTATAAAAACCTTCTAATTTCAGTCAGAAATGCTAGCCAAAATTATCTCACATGTGGAACAGCAATTTTTTAGCTGTGTAAACCACTCCATGAGCAAATACTAGTTAAAACTTTGTGTTTACATCGAGCAAACCAAATACTACAACCTGAAAACCCCCAAGTTCAAAAATACACCGGAACAAAAAATATGATTCTTCCCTGAATTTCGATTTGAAAAGGAGAAACCCTGTGCATTTTACTCCTCCGAATACCGTTAACATAAAACTCGGAAACGAAAAACCCTGTGCAGAATGCATAAAATAAAACCACTCTTTTTTTCTTTTCTCCGAAATTTCGCAAACAAATCACCGACTTCCTCCTTCCCCCGACTTCCTCCTTCCCCCATAAAACATACATTATTCTAAAAGAAAAATGTTTAAATATAAAGCAATATTTACGTCACAGGACGGATTTTAAGTTGGGAGCGATCCTGATATTTCAGCACATTGACCCGAAGTGGAAGTGCGTTTCGGAATCCCTCCTAAAAACGCCTAGCTCCCAGCAATTTTCTTTTTTTTTTTTTTTTCTTTTTTTTTTAGTGCTCGGATTGCATTAAATAGAAGCATGTCGCGGTAATCAAAATGAGCCTCGCAACCTAAATGTTGCCCAAAAATGAAGTTTCCTTTTTCTAGGAAAGTGTTTTTTGTGACATACATGTTCTCTCTAAACACATAAAAAACAAATACTTGTTCTTTTTTTTCAGTTTAGTGTTTTTTTTTAATGCTAAAAAAGAGTTCCTTGTTGTACTAATTCATCAGTTAAGCTACAGCTGGGGCTTGAAGTTGGACTACCGACGAGAAAGTCGGTGAGATCGCCGACCACCGTGACTGGCCAGCACTGCATGCATCCTTGACATTGGCCAATCGCCGCACGACGCTGGCCAATTGCAGAGCAGCGCCAGCCAGTTGCAGCGGTTGTCAACCTCACCACCTCTGAGGGCTACATTTGCAGGGAGTAAACATAAAGCCTTGGCCCACCTGACTCCCAATCCTAAGCTTCTCGGCATGCTTCTGGATGTCCCCCAAGTCAAGGCGTCTGGACTGTGGGCTCGAAGGCAGCGGAACTGCGAGAATGTGAACCGGCAGCGTTAAAAGGTCTATGGCAATGTAACTGAGGGGTAACACCGCAAGAGCCAATGCTGCAATGCAAAGCCGAATTAAGACGAGACAGAGAGCCAACGCCAGTCGCACTCCGGACAAAAATCGATGAGAGTGCAATAGCAAATGGCTCTGACGTGTGCTGCATGTTCCCATGGTCACAAATACAACCCCCCCGTCTGTTAAATACCTGATAAGTACTGACTTTGAAATCTTTAACGGGGTGCAAACATTTTAACCTGAAGAAAATCCTGTAGTGACACTACCATACAAGTGGGATTCTTCTATTTTGGGGGGTGAAAGACTAATTCCACCAGAAAGGCGTCCCACTGACAAGTTTTATTCAAACTAGATTAAACTAGACATCACCTGGGATCTAGAAATGATAAAGGTCTCCCAAGCCTCATCTATTTGGCAAGCTAAAAAAAATTATGTGTTGCTTTGAAAAATCGAGTTATGCAAGGGACCAAGTCAGTCTGAAACATTAGCTGAATCCACTTGAGTACAGTGTTAAAAAAAAGTGAAAGCTGCTTACAACTCCCTGTAACGCCGAATTAGTGCGCAGCTCTTGAGGAGGAGGAGGGAAGGGGGGGGGTTAAACTAACCGGGGGGGGGGGGTCACGTGACCTTGGGGGTCAGGTGACCCCAAATGCCGATAATGTCATCACTGACGTCACTGATGACGTCATCAGTGACGATGACGATGCGGGTACCGATGACGTCATTAGTGACGTCACTGATGACTTCACCAGTGATGATGACGATGACGATGCGAATGTCGGTGACGTCATCAGTGACGTCGCTGATGACGTCATCAGTGATGATGACGATGACGATGCGGATGTCGGTAACGTCATCAGTGATGATGACGATGACGATGCGGATGCCGGTGACGTCATCAGTGATGATGACGATGACGATGCGGATGCCAGTGACGTCATCAGTGACGATGACGATGACGATGTGGATGCGGTGACGACATTAGTGACGTCACTGATGACGTCATCAGTGATGATGACGATGCGGATGTCGGTAACGTCATCAGTGATGATGACGATGACGATGCGGATGCCGGTGACGTCATCAGTGATGATGACGATGACAATGTGGATGCCGGTGACGTCATCAGTGATGATGACGATGACGATGTGGATGCCGGTGACGTCATCAGTGACGATGACGATGTGGATGCCGGTGACGTCATCAGTGACGATGACGATGTGGATGCCGGTGACGTCATCAGTGACGATGACGTCATTGGGGGGTCACGCGACATTGGCGGGGGTCACGTGACCTCAGGGGAGTCACGTGACTTCGGGGGGTCACGTGACCTCGGGGGGGTCACGTGCCCCCCACGAGGTCACGTGACCCCGGTGGGGGGCTCGCGCGGTGCATTATGGGACATTTCCCATGATGCACTGGGGTCACGTGACCTCGGGGGGGGTCACGTGTCCCCCCACGAGGTCACGTGACCCCGGTGGGGGGCTCGCGCGGTGCATTATGGGACATTTCCCATGATGCACCGCGCGGTTACGCCGACGCTGACGCCGACGCCGCTCAAGTTGGAAACGGGCCCCTAAGAGCTGCGCTCTAAAATGGCAAATTGTTGCCGAGGAAACCGTCTCTGCAGGAATATTAGTAACTACCACAGTTTTTCTTTGTTTGCACCAAGCACAAAATGCAACTCAGTAAAGCAAGAATCTCGAGATAAAAAATAAAAATCTAACTGCACCTAAAATTTCAGGTTCAAAATTAATCTAAATTTTTCTCCCTTTTCGCCTCTCTAAAATTTATAAAATCTAGAGCCAGTACCAAAGGAACCTTTAATTAGATGACGTGTTTCGAGAGAAGACTTACAAAGCAAAAAGAAGACACGAATGGCCTAATCCGATTTACTAAGGATGTACGACGAAGTCTGTAAAGGGCAGCTGTCAAACCGCAGTTAGCAGCAATATACCTAAGCTCGGATGATCAGATGCACGTATCCCGGCGAGACTTTAACGGTGAACGAAGGTTACTGTATTCTGGCTTTGCCTTCAAGTGAGAAAAATCAAGGGAAAAATCAGAAACTGCTATAGTACTACAAACCTGAAGTGGAGGAAGGCGAAGGAAGCTTGAGGTCCGTCCCTTTACCAGTTGCACCGTGTTTGAGGTTGTTTCGAGGTTGTGGAGGCAATTCATTGAACGACGTACTCCTCTTGCTGTCGTCCTGCGTGAGCATATAAAGATCTAGCCTCTCAGCACAATCACCGATTCCGCACACGTGTGAAATATTACGATCGCTGCCGCTTGACACTTATGTTTTCAACATCCCCTGCTTAAACTTCCGCCACTTTCTTACCAGTTCATTTCATGCTAGAACCCTGCGCGGTAATTGAAACACACCCATTTGTACCTGATATATGGTGCCAGTGTGCTCTTCTCTTGTAAGCGGTTAGAAGCAAGCGCAAAGCACGAACGGAAGTCTGCGAACCAGTCATATTTGTTGACGAGAAAACTTTCCTGTCAAAGAACTCTATGAGCCTTTTGATAATGAACTGGCAGAAGTAGCTAGGGTTTTGTTCGAAGGCGCAAAACTACTCATTTTGGAGACCAAGTACAAGTGAATACTCGAGCAAACTCACAATGGTGATCTTCGGATTAACAAACGCAAAAGCAAGAGGGAGTGTTGGTCTTTCGGTCGGGTGTTACCGAAGACGTGGCGACAAGCGGTGCCAAATCTGCCGACAGTTTGTTCATAAACAGCTAAACGAGGCACTACTAATTGCTCAACGTCCCGAGCTTGCCGTTGAGGTGCATTCCTCGTTTCTTGATAATCCCAAAAATGAAAACAAAAATTGAGAAAGCATTTTCTTGTCTTACCCAATCGTCTTCAAAGCTGAATCCAACTTGGCCAGAAGAATTCCAATAGTCGTCATCCGCCGAAACATCCAGCCTAAGAATAAAGCGTTTGATGAATTAATTACCATTGGGTTATCAATTAATTAGTTATCAATTATTATTTCCCAGTTCTGTCCCCAAAGCATTGCGTTTCCTACTCAACTTTTCCCCAAAAGCAATCGCTGCGGCAGTTTGCTGTACAGTGTGACATTTACTGAAGCAAGAGATCAAGAGATTTCAATGTTACTTGCACTGCAAAAAGAGCCGTAATTTCTGTTGTCCTCGTGCACCACTGGTGCTCATAACAAAAGTAGTAAAAACTTGATGAAATATCAAAATGAAAAGCCTCATATAATCTATTTCTAGAACAAGAGAGCCCACAGGGGATCCTAGGAGGCGGTAACAAACTGTCCCTTCCCCCTACCGTTCAGCTGATCACCAGACGACCCAATCTCGCCATTGTTTGGGCACACACACCGAGTATCCATTGGACAATAGCCCTCTGGCAGCATTTGGCATAAATTTGGCTTTGCTCCAGTGGCGTCACCAGGGTCAGCGGCACCCGGGCAGTGGCCCGCGGCGACACCCCGCAGATCGCTGCACCCGGGGCAATTCACACCCCCCCCTCATGACGCCTCTGCTTTGCTCATATCGAGATGGGGCGCTGCATGGTACGGTAAGCACTCGGATCCAATTGACGTCCTTTAGAACCCACTTTTTTCTTGACTGCTGAGGCACATTCTCCAGGCAGTCATCCAGCGTCGATTGCTTGAAAAGGTCCGAGCCAAAGTTGGCCTGCTGGTTAACCCGTGCCGAGAGCTGGGCGGCCTCATCCTGAAACAGGGCACAGAGGGTTACGACAAATAGAATTTTACACTTGCGAATACAGGGAACTTTTTGCAACCGTACAAAATCATGGAAACGTAATTATTTGTGCTACTTAAATACTCTAAAACCAATTTTGGCGAGTTCTCTTTTTCCCTTATTATAAGAACCATTCCTTACCAACGAGGCTGGGGTCTGGAGCCAAAATGCGCAGGCACTTGTCCTACCACTATCCATCTTGGCTTATCTGCAAAGAAATGTTGGGAAAGGCATGTTTCTTTCTGGTTCATGCTAGATACTGGGCAAAAACTTCTAACTGGGGCCAGTTGGAACTTAAAACCTTAACAGTGAGGCAAAATGGTTTCAACTGGTAATCAATGGGGCCCAATTAAATAGAGGCTCAACTGGGACCAGCTGGTATATCGACGGACGCCAATGCACAGCGCAAGTTTGTATGCTTCTCTTGCAGGGGTTGTGGTGACGTCAGTATGCCGAACTCTGATGGAAGGATCAATCAGAGCCAATCAGAGCTTGCCGTTCTGACTTCACCACAACCCCTGCGAAAGAAGCAAACGAACCTGCGCTCCACATAGACCCTTATGCAGAGTACAAGTTTATCTGCTTCTTGCACAGGGGTTGCAATGATGCCGGAATGCCAAGCTCTTATACATAGCTTGCAAGTGTTGCCATTGCTTGGTACTGACGGTTATTTCTACTTACTTGTTTGTTCAAACTACAACTTCTGCGGTGTGAAACAAACACGGCGAACCGAATGCTCGCAGTGCATAAAATACTGGAATGGCCACGAATGACTTCAGATGCAAGATATCTATTAGCTGATTGAAAAAAATAGTGGGTAGACGTCAAGGCACCTAGCGCCGAGGTCCACCCGCTATCCTTGCGATCAACACAGAGTTTAGCGTTACGTCCGACGGAACCCGAAATAAAAGTTAAAGTTACATCCGACGCAACTACACCAAGGATTCAAGTTACGTCCGACAGAACTCGAAATAAATATTAAAGTTACTTCTGACAGAATTCGAAATAAAAAATAAAGTTACGTCCAACGGAACAGAGCTCAGCGTCATTCTGGCGTCACTGCAACTCCTGCGCAAGAAGTAAACGACCTGGATGAATGGATGGATGGATGGATGTCACTGGCAATACTCCTTATAACGGGCGGTAGCCTGCGCCACCTAGCCAAAGTCTGAAAAGACAAACATGTGATTCCTCCCACCCCTCTAAAATCAATTTTCTCGCCCTAACTATCACCAGGCAGTGTGGGATATCACCAGGACGACCTTAGGGGGATTGGGCAAAAAACCTAAAAAAAGACATCACCTCCCGCCTCTTCCCCCCGGCAAGGGAGGCGGCAAATTTCCTCTGGTCAAACCCTGTCGGCATTACCCCAGCACCGGACCCACTAAGAGGCAGGGTCGAGACTTTGGGCCGGAGTCAAGCGGGTGGAAGTCCCAGTTTTCCTCTGTCCCGTCTGTCCCCAGCTGTACTAGTTAGTTGTGCATCATTCAATTATCCCTAGATAATTTCCACCAATCTTCTAATTGCCTCTTTCTGACTGTAAACCTTTTCTCCTCCGTCCCTCCATCATCGCCAGCAAAACCCAGGGCCCCAACCAAATCCATCACCCCCTCAGGGGGGCAAGGCAAAGCCCCGTGCACTGCAAAAACAAGTGCTATAGTGTCTCGCTTTCATTATGGCAGGTGGCACATAATGTGTCCGTCTCCTGAAATTCAACCCTGTACGTCCTCGGCCTCAAAACTCCTGTTTTTGCCTCGAATAGCAAAGAACTTCCCAGAGAATTGTCAAACATGTTTTCCTTTCATACGTCCTGCTTTTGTAACCTGTACGTCACCCACCTCACTTTTCGCCCTCTCCACTATGCCATCATCATCATCCCGCACTTCTCAAGCCAAGAAGCCTCGCATCACCATCATCGTGTAGCTGGCCACATAGGCACATATGTGTACGGGCGGAAACGCCTTCTACGCGACCTGTACTTAAATGTACAAATAAATATCTATCTATCTATCTATCTAGAGCTAATTTTTTTCGCATTCTTCCCTCCGACATTTCCCTTTCTGCCTCTTTCTCTCTCTTTTCCACTGAAGTAGTCTGCTCAGCCCCATCACTAGCTTGTAGGCATTTAAATGTAAGCTTTGGAGTTCGGTTTGTCCATTTTGTGTTTAAACTTTTTATGTATAAATACTTAAATAACTTCCGTGCCCACTGCGTATCATCCAATTCGGTCGTCCTTCGTTCAAATTTCAATTTTTTATGGCCTCCATGCTCTCAAAAAATGACCAGCTCATATATTACCCTGTACCCCCTCATTTGGTGTCTTTCCATGCGCTCCCAGTGCCAATCTGCCTACGCTTCTTTGTTGAATTTTCTAATCCTGATTGAACCACCGATTTCATGCGCAGTACCCCATTGCCGAAAGACAGTCCTGGTACCATCACTCCTTTCCATATACCTCTGATCACTTCATATCTATTATAGTTCCATAGTGCCTTGAGCTTCATGCATAATAGATTAATTTATTTTCCTTGTCTAATTATATTATCCTGCATTTTCCTACATGGTCAATTACAATGTCTTGTATCCTCAGGGGTTCCCTCTTTTCGTCGTTAAACACCATTACTCCAGACTTGTCATTACAAAAGCTGATACCCAAGGTTGTTCCTCTTCCTCTCCACATATTACAGGTAGTTCCTGTAACGTATCCCGGTTATCTGCCATGAGTACTATGTCATCCGCATGCATCAATCCTGGTATTACATGTACTACATTTCACCCTCTTCCATACAACTCACATCAAAACCGAATGTTGCTTTGCTCCATTTTTTTTTTTTTTTTTCATTTTACTGGTTTTGATTTGGGACCAGCTGGTGCGAAGTGGCCATAACTGACCATTTTCAGTTGATATATCTGATGTGTCCGTAATCGTAAGAATATTTACTGCATTGAAAATTTAATTTTATTTACTCGTCAGTTCTGTGTTGCGCATAATCGTCCCATAAATGTGAATAGTTTCACGCGCGCGTTGTGTTTGTAATCGAACGAATCCATCCCTGACTCGGTCGAAAAAGTCGAAGGAAGTTTACATACCGATACCAATCCTCAACGTGAAAGATCATCGACGAGCAAGAAGGAAAATAGTCACAATGAGAACCGAGCACACAAATCGTTCATTCGTTGAGGAAGTTATGTTCCTACGAGTACCTTTGTCCCGTAGTAGTAATGAGTAGTTGTTCTGGCTCAGGAAAATGACGAAGAAAGCTGCCACTCACCTGTGAACTTCGTCAGCTGTCATCGAAGCACCTGCTGTTTAAATACGTGGACGATTCAAGCGCAAAGCGTCAGGGCAACACGTAAGCTTAGGCCGGTCATTCTATTTTTGGTCTTGCTTGTTTCCTTCGGTGATGATATATATAGATATATAGTGATGAGTTCTTGATCAGGACACAGAGATATATTTAAACTCGGATCCACGATGGGCGGAACACTCGGACCGCTGCAACGAAATTCGCGATCACCACCACCCCCTGGAAACCTCGAAAGAGTTGTTTACATCGTCGCCATGACCGAAAAGCACGCATGACCCCACCTTTTCTCGCGGTCGGTTCGGTCACATGAACGCAATACAGTTCCGCTCACAACCACTAAGCGCGCTGCAGGAGTAGTGCGGGAAATGGCGCGAAATAGGAAAGTGTCGAAGACTGCGAAAAATGGCTGTCAGAAAAAAACAAGTTGAGAAGAAAACAATTGAGAAGAAAGGAGAAGTAGAGAGCAGGGAGTCTTTCAGATGACTCCTCGCCTCTAGCGTTTTGAGCCTGCACGCATAGGCAACGACGGAAAGCAACTAGTGCCTGCTGAAACTGGGCCCCCCGGACACACACACACACACATACACACTCAAAAAATAAAAATAGCACAATATTTACACCACAAGACGCATTTCTGAGTTCAAGTGAAACTAAAACTACGCGCTAGTTTCGACTTACTTTCTTCTGCTTTTGGTCTGAGCCACGGTGTAAGATATGTACTCTGCGTGGTCCGAGCTGTCTTCAAATGAAAAACGATTACATTTTTGAAACTTCCAGGAGCCAGCTCTGGGCACTTTGGCAGCCTGTCCTGCGGCTGCAGTTTCCTTGGCCCGTACCTTAGTCCGGCCCTGGTGCTGATGGCGAGCTAACGCTCGAAAAACTCATTTGACACTTTCAAATACGTAAGGCATAGACGCTCATAAAAGTTGCGGCACCGACTTCTAACAAGTCATCAAATCGCCCTATGCGGAGCGCAAGTTCGTCGGCTTCTTGCATTGGAGTTGCACTGACGTCAGAACGCCGAGCTCTGATTGGCTGCGACTGGAAGGATAGTGGGTTGACTACAAGGGAGCTAGCGCTGCAACGCGTTTCCGGCTGGTGTGTTTACCTCGTCCAAAATAGCGGTCCCTCGACTTCCATCCAATGACGTCGTAGAAGTGTCATGCGGTGTCATGCTTTATCATGCTGTAAAGCCCCTCTATCCTGGCCTTTATCATGTTGCAGAGCCGTTGTCGCTAGGCGCGATCCTGGCGGCGTCCCAACAGCTGTGGTGTATGTGGCAGACGCCTGTTCTGCTTGGTTCTGCTGCAGGTCGCTGTCCAGTGTGGCAGTCCACGGGAGCTTCGGCAGCCAGACATTGAGATGCTGTGACGACAGCGACACTCGCGTTCGGTGGTGCTACTCGCAGCTTTTCGTTAGCATTTCTACGACTAACCGCCAGGATAGCGACATGCAACAACATGACACTCCGGCTTCTGTGACGTCAAATATGCCGTCTGCATATTTGTTGTTATTGTTTTCCACTGTCGTCTGCGATAGCCTCCCATTTTCGTCTTCGATTGAGTTTCTAATCCGACATCTTCATATGTACTTTTTGACACTTAATTAATAAATATATTAAAACGTGTAAGCTCGTTATGCATTTGATTTGAGTACGCGGTCACGTCTGCCATGGGTCGTCGGCTTCAAAATCGCCACTGACGCCTCAACAGACGATTATGACAATTCCACGGAGATCGCGAAGAACTTCCCGGACGACAGACCAGACTCCACAACTGAACACCCAGTCCTATGTAGCCGGGTGGGCAGCCATTCAGATCTGTCATCATGTTCGCTAAGTCCAATTGCAATCAGAAGCATGGAACACATCGAAAGACATCTTCTTGAAGAACAAGAAATACTCGTATGCGAAAATGACATAATCTTACGACTAAGCTCGCCATCTAGCCGGTAACATCAGCCGTGCCTTCGACACATTTCGCTGATACATTGCACCAAACAAGAGTTCAGCTAAAGGCACAATTGAGGCCGCTGATCGACACTCGAAACAAAGGCACGGAGTGCAAGGATTGCCTGGACATGTATACATACGTCAACAAGTACTTGAATGTACTTTTGAACGGCTTCGTCAAGCGAGCAAACAAACAACCTGCCAAAGTCACTGAAAAAAAAAAAAAAAAAACGGAAGCAAAAAAAAAAAAGGCCACACACTGATAGCACGCAGCAGATCACAGCGTGCGATTCTATTTATCGGGCAGTGTGAGCTGGACTATGTTATTTCTTTCCTGTTTTGCTCTTAGTTCCTACTAGTTCCTACCAACGCCGCGAAAGCAACTAAACAAATATGTAATGTGCAGCTAGAAAAAGGAAAAAGTTTTTTTTTTTTCTTGAATAGCTTTGTCGTTTGCTTCTTTGTTTGTTGTGGACTCAACACCAACAGCGACCACCACCGCTAATTTTCAATGCTCCTACCGACGCCCCGCGCGATCGCTGTCGTTGAAGGTCTTTGCTGGGCGATTTGTATCTTTGAATCGTCTGCTAACTTTTGTTTTTTAACGCTTGTTCGCGACCGTTCCCCATATTTCTTTTCATTTTCGTCTGGGATGGAGACCCCATCTCTGTAAAGCTAGGAAAGTGTTTGCACGCTAGTTTTTCTCGTTACATTTTGTTTTTGTAATGCTGCAGAGGCTGGTGCGCGCGCTTGCTCTGGTAGTTTTAGCATGCATATTGTTTGCGCACGTTTTATTAATCACCTATTCAGGTAAGAAATTCTGTCAACGCAGCTTGTAACGGATCAACAGTAACCTCTTACGACATAGTTAGAGTAGATAGACGACTTTTTTTTCTATTTCCCAGATGCGCTTCAAACGTGTGTGATCCCCTGAGCGTCGTTTGAGACTGCTAAATAAACTGCTCTATCTTTGTGCGCATGTTATTTGATTGTCGTTGCAGTTGCGATAAATGGATCCCGCTTTGCAAGCGGAATGATTTGTTTCAGGTGTTGGGGTGACAAACGGGGCTCGCAAAGCTCGAGGACGGGTCATAGCTGAGCTCGCTGCTGCCAAATTAGTATTTGTTGCTGCTTTCGAACAGGGGAAGAGAAAGAGAGGGGAAAGCTGCTTTTGTACGAATTTTGAGTGAAAGTTAATCCTCTATTATCTTCTAGAGAGAGAATAGCGACGTCTAGGGAAACCTGGGGAAAAAAAAAAACTCTCTTCTCACGGGGAAGAGAAACTCTCTTCCCGGTGAGAAAAGAGTTTCTCCTCCCCTTCTTCTTGTGTGATTGCCCGAGAGCTGAGGGGAAACTCCTCCCGAGCATGCACTGCGAGCAGTTACCTCAAATATGGCGCCCAGTGAATACCATTGCGCCGTCTGCTTCCGTAGACTCCGAGTCCGCTAGAGGCGCCACTGTCACGTTGCCGTCGCTCCCAGGTTTTCGGAGGAGTTGCCAGTATTGGCGAAGCTATGTCGCATTTGGTCCCAACATCCACCGATTGACGTCAATCGTCTGGCTGACTTCCTGGGTACAAATCCGCTATAGTCAAGATGCTATGTATACAAATTTTTATTTTTTTATTTTTTTACGGGGGACATTTCGCGCATTACCACGAACTCGAAGCATCGGTCATCGGGCCCAGAGTATTTGTGGAGGGCGCACGCTTTTATGCTACACGTCGTCCACGCGGGATGCAGGCTCTGGAGACCTCCTGAAGGCCCAGCACTGGTCCGTCCAGTGGTGCTCGGCCTCGCAGTGGCGGCAGAAAACCAGCTGGATACGGGGTATGGGGCTGGCCCACTGGGCGCCCAGCCGCTTGATCACCGCCAGCTCCAGCAGGTTGGCGAGTGCCCGGACGCCCAGGTAGGGGCTGATGTAGCCATCCTCGCCGAAGTAGGCTTCTTTGGGACGCTTCTCTTTGTCGATGAACTTGGTCTGCAGGAAGAGAAGACAACCGCGCCGCTTCGTGAGCTGGGGGATGCTATTCTCATCGTCCGCGTTTTCGCGTGTACTGCACGAGTGTTCACTTTAGCGCACTCCCGGCCGGTCTCGTCCTAAAACTGACTGATTTAGGCGACGTCCGATGAAGCTCAGCAAGATTATCATTAGAAACACGTTTGTTGTCACTAATAAAAAAAAAAATTCCGAAAGGAGTTTTTTTTTTTCGGTAACAGGTTAGTAGTTGAAGGGAAGCTCCTTCTAACTCTTTCCACTTCAGAATAGCAAACGCTGGAGAGGAGGTCGCCTTGGGGGAATAGGTGACATTGAGTTGACGTCACTCGCTAGGTTTGCTGGCATCGGCCACCACGGTCGCCATCTTCGAGGTCTCCTTTTATCCCACGTAGGTGTCAGGTGCCGTCTGGCCGGACCTTTCAGCGTGGGTTAGCAGCATTTTACAACTTTAAAGGGTCTTTTTGGCCGAAACTATGGGTTATTCTTAGGCTCTGGTGCTTTTGAAGCGCCGTAGGAATATTTTTTGTGTGTGTTTTAGTTCGTTTTTGTCGCTATCGGAGTTTTCCGCCGCGGCCGCGTTGCTCTATCGGCTCCATGCAGCGCTCCGTGTCGCGCGCCGTCCCCACGGCGGTAACTCTTTTACAAGAACTGTGATTTTCTGCTTTGGGGCTTTTGTAGCACGGCGTGATTACTCTTTGTTTTGTCTTGCTAGTTTCCATATTGTTTTTTCTCTAGCGGATTTTCTGCACTACGGCCGTGTAACCGTATTGCTCCATCGCCTCCGCGTCGTTCGTCGTGCATTCGGTGTTCGTTCTGTGCAGAAACATACCGTGCGGCTCACCGAGAGCCCGAAGGATTTAAAAACCGCATGCAAGCGATTTGGCGAGCGACGATACAAGCAACGGCGACCCGCTTCGCTGTCGCTCGGTCACTTGCGCGACGAGGCAAACCGCATGAAAGGACGGAAGCAAACGACCAAAGCGATGAGCGCTAAGTTTTCTAAAATCCAAAAACCGCGCGACGAGCAATAGTGAACCGCATGTAAGCGATTTAGCGAGTGACGGCGACGGGAGTTCGCGACGAGCGACGGAGATTTCTCACGTTCGCTCGTCGCGTCGTTCGGTTTTTAGATTTCTAAAAATCGTCGCTCATAGCCTTGGTAGCTCGCTCTCGTCGCTTTCATGCGGTTTGCCTCGTCGCGCGAGTGACCGAGCGACAGCGAAGCGGGTCGTCGTCGCTTGTCTCGTCGCCGTCGCTCGTCTCGTCGCTCGCTAAATTGCCTACATGGGGTTCAGCCTTTACACACGGTACTCGGCGGCAACAAAGGAATTAAAACGGCCCGCTTCCGAGATAAACTGTTTTCTCTATTCTGTTCAACGAAGCTGCTTCGACGATATGAAATTAGCACACTACCAACTGACGACCGCATACACAAGCCAATCAAACGTCAAATCGCGACCGCGACCTCGAAGATGGCGGACCGACGGTGGCGCTCCTTGGCCAAATCAAACTTGCAGGCTCAGTGACTACTACCTATACCGCACCGTACAATCCCCCCTCCCCCTCCCCCTCCAAAAAAAAAAACAAAAAAAAAACACGAAAGGGTAAGACATTGAGGACGGGAACGGAAACACGACTTCTTTCATTAGGGAGTTTTCGTAGACCGCGCTGCCCCCTCCGCTAAGCGTTCCGCAACGAAGAAGTCGCTACTGCGCCTGCGCGCCGATAGCCTTGACTGCAGAGTTCCCGCTATCGTAGCGGGTTGCGGAGGGCCTTGCGGGACGGCGAAAACGATCTACGAAAACTCCCTATTGGGGAACTGTAGTAGACCGTTTCCGCAGCCCGCTAACCACCAGGATAATAGGGAGTTGTAGTAGATCGTTTTTCTCCTCCGCTACGATATCCCCGAAGAAAACGCCGCAGCTGCGCATGCGCGCCGCTAGCCTTCTCTGCATAGTTCAAGGTCTTGTGGCGGATTACGGAGCGCTATCCGGGTGCTTAGCGGGCTGCGGGAACGCTCTACTACAATTCCCTAATGATCCGTAATCCGCCACAAGACCTTGAAGTATGTAGACAAGGCTGACGGCGCGCATGCGCAGCTGCGGCGTTCTCTTCACGGATACCGCAGCGGAGGAGAAAAACGGTCTACTACAATTCCCTATTGAGCCATAAGTGGGACTGTCAGCAACAATATTTCTGCACCTTCATTATTACCGACAAGGACAGAGGTCGAATCTCTAACACCACCAGAGATGACTGGGTTACTGACACCTCGTCGTGACGCTAGTGCTTTTTTAAACTTGTAGTACACTTCTTTTTCCTTCTTCGAAAACTCTGAAGCCTTTGGTGGGCGGTTTTATATCGGTGTCATTCTATGTTGTTGCTCAATGAAAGAAGTCCGAAACAGACGTCTTATGCGTTTCTTTCGTTTTAAGTCAATGTAGATCACCAACACGCCCAAGTCTTTAATAATAAAAAAAGTCCTGTTTCCGTCCCCATTCTTGGAGAAGAAAATGGGGGGTGCTATGTAGAATTTGGCATCCTTGATGTTTGATCCTTTTATGTATTTATATCTATTCACCAACACCTTCGCTTTCAATTATTAAAACTAAACAGCTGTTAAGCATTTGGTGTTAGTTTAATTTGATTGCTGCACGTCATCGTCACGTCTACTCAGATAATTAACTAAAATGTGTTTATTAACTTTCTCTTATTAGTGCAAATAAACACACTGTTCATATCAGAAACTTGCTGAAACGCGTGAGAGGCTCGGTGGCGAGCTCAAGTTACCACTCAATGCGATGCATGTGCAAAGGCGTCGGCGAAGTATCGTGATCGGAACGATCTACTAAATCTTTAATAATAATATCAATAGCGGTCGTCAGGGGCGAATGCAAGCGTTTCCAGGAAATGGGGGGGGGGGGGGGGGGGGGGGGGGGGTTCCGTTGACCCTCGTGACACTACTCGCGCTCAGCCAGTTTGACTACGCCACCGCTGCCGCAATGCATCGAGGGAACTTTAGTATTTCTGCACGTGCGACAACCCCGCTGTAGCTCTGCGCGTGTAAAGCACGAGACGGCACGAGCCCTCTCGTGCACTGCCGTTCGTCTCCTGTGAACTAAAGTTAGGGCAGTGAGAAGCATGCCCCGAACAGCTAGTGAGATCGGTCTACAACGGCCGCCCCGTCGTCTGATCCTGCTCTCTGCGCGTGGGTACGAGCGTGAACACGTGGCGCCAATTTCCACGTACGCAGTGATTTCCGGGTCCAAGGCGCAGCAAGAAAGATGTGCACATAACAGCGGGACGCGCTCCGTACCACGTGGGTGCGTCGCAGATTTGTGCCACGCAGCAAAACTCACGTCCGCGTTGATGATGACGACGTCCACCATCTCGCGCATGGCGCTCACCAGCACGCGATTGAGTTTCCGGCGTGCCGCCTCGGCCTCAGCAGTCGCCCCGCCACGAGGCAGCACTCTGAACACAAACAGCACCGGAGTGACAGTCCTCAGGAACTCCAGGAGAGCCTACAAACGAAGACCAATTTGCGATATTTACCCACCCTACGTTCCTGCGTGGAACGCCTATAAAAAAGATGTACACGAATAAATAGATAACATACCAGGATGTCAGTGCGGATGTCTGCGAAGTCCCTACCGTCACTTAAATCTTGGCCTCCCACGCACACCACGACAAAGTCCAAGGGCGCGAAGTTCAACTGCCGTACCTTCGCCAGCAGGGATTCAGCGGTGGCGCCTTCGACACCGAATGTGCAGGTGTCCACATTTTCCGCGAACCGAAGGCGACTTCGGTCCATCAGGCACAGGTGGTCATCTCCAACAAGCACTCCCTTCATGGCGATATCAATCGCAAGGCCTAAACGAACAACACAAAAGCACACACCAGTGTGACTGTGCACTGGGCAACCATTCAATGCAGATATGCAGATGGTCCAGTTGAAACCTTACTGGAAGCGAGCGAAGTTTCCTCTGTTTCGCCTTCTTCGGTTACAGATAGAGTGCCTCGAGATCGGTCAACACCTTTTGGCGAATATGTGCTGCCGATGGATGGATGGATGGATGAATACGGCTGAGCCCTTTGGATCGGGCGGTAGCTTACGCCACCTAGCCATTTTGTTTTACCATTTAAGCTTAGAATATTTAAATGTGAAATCTATATTCACTCCGCAGTGCAAAGAAAGTGAGGCTATGAAACCCCCTTGCCATCAGTGGATAAGAAAATACCTAGTTTTCTCTCGATTTCTGCCACCATTCACTTAATCTTTGCTTGGTAATTTCTACAGTCTTGAAATCCACTCTCCCTTCGCTGTCTCTAAAACCCAATGACTTTATTAAATCTATGTTGTCTTCGGTAGGCATAGGGTGAAGCCCTTTACAGTAGAGTATCAAGTGTTCAGCCGTCTCGTCCTCCTCTCCACAAGCAGTGCACACTGTATCAATTTCCTGGTACTTCACCCTGTATGTTCTGGTTCGCAGAACACCCGTTCTTGCCTCAAACAGCAATGAGCTTCCCCTAGAATTGTCATAAATGCTTTCTTTGGCAATAACTCTTTTGTTTAATCTATAGCTTTCCAGAGTCGTCTTTGTCTGCATTCCCTCTAGCCACCGATCTCTTTCTGTGGCCTTAACTTTCTTCTTAACTGAGACATGCTCTTCCGTATCTTCGCTATAGCCCAAAAACTTTCCTCTTAATTTCCTAGTGCGCTGTCTCCACTTTGTGTCTACACTCCTCATGTATAAATAGCTGAAAACCTTTCGTGCCCATTGCTCCCCGTCCATTTGCCTCAACCTATCCATATATCTATGCCACCCGCTTAGGCACGCGCCTGGGTTCGAGAGTGGCTAGGAAATAACGCGCGCGCTCTCCCACCCTTTCCACACGCAAAACGTCAGCCACATCCTGTTCGTCCATTGAGCCACTGTGACGGCTCTCCCAAACTCGCCTTTGTCCCCATCGCGAATTAGCCTTCTGCCCCGAAGTCGACTAAAAGAAACCATCTTCCCTCTCTGCTCGGCCAGAAGGAAGAAAAAGAGGGTATATAACTTTCAAAAAAAAAAAAAAAAAAAAACGGCCCTACGCCGCCGCCATGTTGCTGATGCTGACGCGGCTCGTGCGACTCTCGCGCGTTCTATCAGCTGGATATTTTCTGCCACACTGCCACGCTCAGCGCGATTCTCTACATACGTTTTTGCGGTCTTGCATTCGACGTTTTCTGGCCCCTCTTGAAAGTTTCCACTTAATTTTTTTTTTTTATGCGTGCTGCGTACCCTTTTTGTGTTATCTCCCACTGTGAGAAATAGGGCTGGTGATAAGTGCCTGGCCATTCATGCTTTTCTGCACAACATTCACGGGAAACGAAGGAGGGGACAGACGTCGAACGGCTCTCGACGCGATTTTGCGTACAATGATAATTGTTCTCACCCCTCTCGGAGATCATCCGCGTAGAACCCTCAATCATCTCCAAAAATAGTTGTCCGGGTTGGGGACTTGAGGTGGGAAACGGGTCAATCGCGTTCGTTCCTTTGCATTGGTGCTGTTGTGAAGAAAAGGAAGCTCACCCCAAAACGTGTCCCAAAACGAAGTGATCTTGGATGATGAAAATAATCCCTGGAGAAGGGGAACAAGAGGGACAAAGGACAAACATAAATCTCCATACACAGCTAGGTGACTGGTGAGCGACCGAAAAAATCCGCCTGGTCCGGGTATCGAACCCGGGACCTCTCCATTACAAGGGGAGCGCTCTACCAACTGAGCTAACCAGGCCACGAAGTAGTCCCAGGTTGGGCGTGCGTCTATGTGGCATTGCACCATCGCAGTGCGCGATTGCCAGATGGCGTGCAGTCCTAGTAGCACCAACACATAGGTCACCTCTGCCGTCTCCCTGCCGCCTAGAGCCAGATACTTGAGGTTAACCCACTCTATGTCGAAAGCCGTTCTTAGGTTGAAAATCGTCCTCATCTCGTCCCAGAACAGGTAGGCGTTCGAGCACTCGACGAGGACGTGTTGGATGGTCTCGGTGGCACCGCAGAGGTCGCAGTTGAGCGACCAGGGCACAAAAATCCCCCTCCGGTGCAGCCATGTTTTGGCTGGAAGCACCTCCAGATGCATGCGCACAAAAAAGTCCTTGCTGGCCGCAGAGACAGGGAGACGGCGCACGAGCTTCAAAAGTCCTGCTGTGCCGTCGGGTACTGGCGGCGGCCTATACAAAGGCGATGGAAAGGTCACAGAAATTGTGTCCCAGTAGAGTTTTCTTTTGCCGACGGTCGCCAAATAGTCCCAGGAGAACCGAGCCAGGAAGAACTCGATGGAGGCCGCTATTTCGCTGTAAAAGCGCAATGCGGCTGCCTTCGCTGTGCGGCCACTGGTGGTCACCATCCATCTTCCCAGGTGAGGGAAGCCGAGGTGGTGTAGCGCACTCAGGAGAACGGGGTCCTTTGCGTCCCGGAAGAGGAGAAAACGCTGTACATGTAGCTTGAGCACGATGTTTACCAGGCCAAGACCTCCGCCCTCCTGGTGTAGGAAGAGGTTCTCCCGCCGTGTCCGTTCCATGGATGACTTCCAGACAAAGACGGCCCAGCTTCTGTGTATCCTCTTGGCCGTCACTCCAGGGCAGCATACGGCCTGCGCCTTGTAGAGAACGGCTGGGTATATGACAGCGTTGCATACGTAGGCACGGTTGAAAAAGGAGAGATGTCTGCACTGCCAGGGTGAGAGCTTGGATGCTACCGAGTTGGCAGCCTTTTTCCATACTGTGGAGGAAGGTCCCTGTGGGTCAATAGGAACACCGAGATAGTTTCCGACTGACGTGGTCCAGCCAATCCCTGCGAAGAGCTTTGGCGTTGTTGCCCATCCCCCAAGCCACGCTCCCACCGACTTTTCCCTGTTTCTCCGCGCCTGCTGCGACGGTGAAATTCTCCACATGCCGCAAGATGGTCTCCACCTGTCTCTTGGAAGAGCAAACGAAGGATACGTCATCCGCAAAGGCTAAAACGCGGACATTCTCGTTTCCTAGTTGTAGTCCCGTGATAGTTTGGTCTTCATTGATCGCGCGACATAGTGGCTCAAGCTGCAGCGCGAAGAGAATTGGCGAAAGGGGGCATCCCTGACGGACCAACCTCCCTATGCGGATGGGCGCTCCCCTGTCTCCGTTGATGAGTAGGCGTGTGCTGATGTCGCGGTAGCAGAGGGCTATCCACCCCCGCAGCTCCTCCCCCACACCGAAGTGTTTGAGTGCTGCATGGAGAAATTTATGAGACACCCTGTCAAACGCTTGACGCAGGTCCAGCTGAATCACAGCGAGAGGCTCGTGACCCACAGCGGTCGCCTCGCAGACGGAGCGCATGGCGTGCAGGTTCCGCGCTATCGATCGGCCACGGATCCCGTAGCTCTGATGGGGCCCTATGACGGATCTAAGCCCAATGTCGAGTCGTCTTGCCAGTATCTTGGCTAGAATCTTGTAGTCACAGCAAAGTAGGCTGATCGGGCGGAAGTCAGTGACCTCAGCTACAGGACTTGTCTTTGACTTCTTCGGAATCAGTACAGTAAAACTTTCCCTCATGGACGGGGGGAGCAGCTTGCGTTTCTTTATGTCCTCGAACACCTGAACCAGGATTGGGCAGAGCGCATCCGAGAAGATCTTATAAAACTCTGCTCCAATGCCGTCCGGGCCGGGCGCCTTGTTGCGTGACAGTCTTTTTATAGCTTGCTTGACTTCTGACAGTCGAATTGGACAGTTCATAAGGTCACTTGCTTCTTCGGGCACGGTCGGCGACTCATGTAAAATTGACTCGAAGGCGGTCTCGTCCAGGTTTTCCTCCTGAAACAACCTCCCGAAAGCCTCCTCAAACGCGCCCGCAATATCTTGCTGCGATGTTGCTACGCCCCTCTCGCCACGCACTTCCCTTAAGGTGTTTTCTCTCACCCTCTGTCTCTCATGTGTGCGGAAGATCTTGCAAGGCTGTATTTCCCCCTCAAGAGCCTGCACTCTGCTCCTGACTTGAGCTCCCCTGTAGCGCTCTTCGAGTATACCGAGCAGCTGTTCTTTGCAGTTCTTTATGTCGTCCGCAAACGTTCCAGGGTTTTGCTCCTCCTCCTCTAGAAGCATCCGCAGGGTCTTGGCCAGGTGGATTCGAGTCTCACGTGCCTCAGCAGCCCTGCGACGGCCAAACGCGCAGGCCGACTCCCGGAGATTTGCCTTAAAACTCTCCCAGGTGACCGCATCTGCGCCGCTCTCGACCAGCCTCTCCAGAGCACACCTCGTTTTCCCGACGAACTCCTCGCTCTCCAGGACGCTGGCGTTCATCTTCCATGTTGTGTTGCGTCGCGCTCGCTCGGCCACCGGCGCGCCTGCTCGTAGGGTTAGACGTCAGTAGAGCAAACGGGTTTTATCAGCCGCCACCAGTATAACACCAACAAGGGTGAAGCTTGCAATTTAAGGTTATAATTATAATGCAATTAAATGCAAAGGGGCAAGCGAGCTGGACAAGAATGACGAAAATAATAATGAAAACTTTCATCATTATTGTCCAGCTCGCTTGCCCCTTTGCATTTAATTGCATTATAATAATAACATTAAATTGCAAGCTTCACCCTTGTTGGTGTTATACTGGTGGCGGCTGATAAAACCCGTTTGCTCTACTGACGTCTAATCCCTGGTTAGCTCAGTTGGTAGAGCGCTCCACTTGTAATGGAGAGGTCCCGGGTTCGATACCCGGACCAGGCGGATTTTTTCGGTCGCTCACCAGTCACCTAGCTGTGTTTGGAGATTTGTGCTTGTCCTTTGTCCCTCTTGTTCCCCTTCTCCAGTGTTTATTTTCATCATTATTGTCCAGCTCGCTTGCCCCTTTGCATTTAATTGCATTATAATGATCTTGGATTCCGTCCGATTGTCAAGATGTGTTACTGACTGACTGTGTTATTTGAGACCTTTCTCGAAATTTTATTTTCAGATAACGCTGCATCGTGTGGTACTTACAATATATTGTTCGAATGTTAACACTCACTACATTGTATGTTTGTGTCCTGTCCATCGGTAAA